CAAATTACTGTGAACAGTTCTTCGCGAACTGTTGTACCGTACGACTAATGCGGCCACTTAATTTGATTGAGACACATTCATGACTCTTTGTCATTATCATACTAATGTAGTATAACTGTGGTTACACGATCATTATTCTAGTGTTGATGCTAGACAGAAAATTCTAGTCGGCGAGATAGCAACGCAAAATTATCTAGTCTTGTACTGTTTTGAAAAAACCTATCTATAGTTTTTATTGCTTTTATAAAACTTACGCACCGAACACATAAACTTTCAATTTCACAAACACATTTGGTCGAGCACTAAAAAAACTAGTCCGGAATTTATAAAGTTCTAATCTATCGGCAATAAATCAGAGTTGTTCGTCAGACGATCATTTTTTCTAAGGCCTCGTGCAAACCTGTATTGAGGAAACGCGAGTTAAAATAAACACCGTCTTACCTTGAACTTTATAACTACAGGCATAACCATAGTTTCAACTAACTTCGAACTTGTGTCTAGATTGTAAACGGGTGTAAAAAGCAATTATAATTTTTTCATTGATAGCTTAAATAACGTCAAAAGGTTTTGTTGGCGCCTGCAGCGAATAAAAAACGTGTGAGCATAGAGAAATCGTATAGTAAATATGTAGTTTGAAAATAAATTGGATGCCTAAAATAATTTTACGGTTATATCTATTATAGTCCTAGAACAGAATTGCTCATCGAGAAATAAGACAAAATTTCTGCTTCATCTACTTTTACTAAAATATTAATCTCTGAGTTTGTTTCGGCATTTCTTTTCGGAATAGTCAGATTTTGATGTAAAAATGTTTTGTTTTATGGCCTACCTACTTGCAAAAATGATTTCATTCTAATGATAATTATAAGGTTAAAAAATAAAAATGCACCCGAGGTCAGGAATTGTGTCCACGCCCAAGGGCCAACGACTGCAGATCACGCGACTGAATTACACTCAGGAAAGAAAAGTTATTAACTTAATACTAGATCAAAATATGATCTCTCGGACTCCCACTTGGCACTTAGTGACGAGCTTAGGAAATGTAGTTAAGGAGTACATTAATAAACGGAGTATATTAAAAAAGGTGATCAAGACAAATCACTATAAAGTTTTCTTGATCGCAAAAATAAGATAACTGGAAAGCAAAACAGCAAAGGTATTTATTGCTTAGCAATATTTGATTTCTGGCTCCAGTCAACCCTCTATGATTGATTAACCACAAGCACACACAAATGTAATGCGACTGAGAATTTGGAAATCCAATAACATTTAACTCAAAAAGGATCCGGACTTTGTGCGCAAACGCCATGTTATCTACCAACCAACGTAAAAGTCGTACGTCTTATACTTAAAAAATCGGTATTTACGAACTGTTGTGTAAACATTATGAATACATAATTACTTCACGTTAAGATAATAATATTATTATGCTTGTTTTTGCTTTCATTTACAGAGTTTTTACTAAACATGTAATACGTAACAGAGGTTGTATTCGTACAACGCTGTAGGTACGCTAAACAGTAAGAGGAAAAACGTAATTGGTATACAAGTTTTTGCGAAGCTGAATGTAATTTTTGATGGAAAGAAACCAGGCACAAAGTCAGAGCCAGATTCCGAAGTCATTACAATACATACAAGTGAACACACACATCCAAAACATGAACACTGCAGACTAGATAGAGCAAAAGATTGAAAGATCAACCAACGGTTCCTGTACGTGACGAAACTTAATGAATACGGATCAAAATGAGCAGACCACTTAGCACATACAGACTTTATGCATCACTTATACCAAGTTGAAGATGAAACGTGGACGAAAAGTACCCACACGTGGACACTGAAAGACTGAGACAAGTATAGCTGAATATATAGTTATAAAACTTGGATGAAAAACTCACGCGTAATTAAAAATACAAGAAAGGTGAAATAGAAATCTCACGAAGTCGACTCGCCAAATATAGACACAAAAAGCTAGAAAATGGCTATGGAACATAAAGATAACATTTAGTTTGTTCTTAGCCTTATTTATAATAGCTTTCATTAATAGATAATACAGTCACTAAACGAAGGCTCCTATTGTAAGAAATGATGAATTGATGAAATTAAAAAGTCTAACAAAAAATCAATTTTCATCAACAAAGACGATCCCAAATAGTTTTTTTTTTTTTGGTACCGGCTACCTGGACGTCTATTCAGAAGCTAAGAATATGCAGGAAGTATTGAACCAAAGCTTGGGATTCTTTTTCTCTTCTCTACGCAAAATTAAAGAATTTTCAATCATCCTAAATAATTATCTATAAGAAATTTCTAACCATTTAGAACACTGGCCAAGGCCAAGGTATTCCCATATTCCACACTCATAAAGTTAAAATAATCACAGTTATAATCTCCCTTTCATTGAATTAACAAAGACTTCTACCCAGTTTTTTTCATAGGACTAAGCTGTCTCACCACCTAACTGCGATTACTACAAGCCAGTGCCAAAAAAAGCTAAAAAAAGGTCTGAAACAATAAAGCCGAATGCGTCCCAAGGACACAGACTAAATATTGTCTTGGTTAACAAAGAAAACTATCAAAGAAGGGCTGAGAAAAGAATAGTTTCCAATGCACTTGGTAATCCTAAGTATTATTATGCACCCTTATACATATAAATAAACAGCAGACACACGTGGCAGCCATTAAGTAATTGTAACACTTTCGTTGAGAGACGCAACCGCTCGGAATGGAGCGGAGTCGTGGAAACAAGAGCAAATGTAACGGTCCTTATTATTGTGTTATGCGCATGTCATGTTGCTGATGATAAGTGTGCTACTGGTGCAGAATGTATTTCATACTTTTGGACTGAGAGGGAAAATCTTCCAATTACATCTCCCGCTTTGGGTGGAGCCAGAAGGAGTATCAAACCACCCCTTCTTTCTGCTCTGAGCCACCAACCATGGCTGGGTATCAGCTCTAATGGGCCCCATCAATGGTCTTCTGGTGTATACAGAGGCGCATGTTGAACGCCACGCGAAAGGTTTGCAGACTCATGACAAAGATCCCTAGATGCTGATCACTTTCATTCCAACCCGATTCCAAATCGGACATCTAGAAATCAATTAGGGAGGATTATGTACTTATTTGGTGAGCCATCATGTATTACTAATCTAAAATAAGTCCTTTATTTGGAGATAGGTTATTTGTCTGTTACTAGTACCTAGGAACTATAGAGCTAGTTAACATAACTCGACAAAAAATCACCCTCTCAGGGAATAGTCTTGGCGGTTAGTGACGCTAGCATCAATATTGAGGACCTACTGGATAAGTATTGAATATAATAAAAATTAATAGTAGCAGTCTTTCTCGTATTATTTAAATCACAAATATGACCAATGTTAACGTTTTAATCGGTCACCGAATTAATTTTTGCCTTGATAAAATAATTGCGTTGATATGAATCGAGTTTGTTAGATTCGAACACAGGAAAATTCCCAAATTTATTAAAAAATCTGCCAATAAAGTTTTAGAATTTTTTAAATAATTTTTATTTTGTCTTCTATCTGTAATTCATTTTAGTAAAAAAATCAGTTTTCCTGTTTCTAACCACATTCCTGATTTGAATCTTTCATTTTTCAAACAATTTCAAGTTGGTTCCTAAATAGGAAATATTAATTATACCAAGTAGTAGTCGATTATATCGACTAAGACAGGACCAAAGTGAACCTTATTTCCTGGCATTTAATTTTCTCCTGGCATTTAAATTAAACATCTAGTCATTTAGTCAAATAACTTATTATCCTTTGAAAGAGAACATTGATTTAGCACGTACGTATACTGTCCCAGCCAGAGTGATTCTTCACAGAAAACCGACGTGAAACAATACAGTGTTGTATCGCCGTGTAAGTGAGGTTACCGGAGGCCCATTCTCCACCTCCCTTCATTTCCAATACATAATCCTCATATCCCAAAAACCACTGGCAACGCACTCCTCAAGAGTTGGCCATGCATCGATTGCTAACCTGCTCGTTTGCCTCCCTACCCTATCAAATTAAAAAGGAAACACAATTTGAGCCCTCTAAAAGTACCTAGCCGGTACATGTAACATATTTCGTAGAATTACTTATAAATTAAGATTTATCTGATAGGTTTAAATTTAGAACGCTTCAAAATTCTTTAAGGTTGTAATGAGGTAAATTGTATTTTTAATTTCCTCAAAAATGCCGTTAACTCAACTTGCCAACCTGCGTTGTCGTTGTCACGGTCAATGATCCTAATATTGAAGTGAAAAACACTGGCCACAAAGAATAGTTTTACGCTCAATGAATCGCCAAATAATTACTTTTTCAATAAACTGAATATCGATTTCCTATAAAAAACCTACTAACCTATTTGAATAACCCGACACCTGTTAAGATGGCCAATGGCGCCTCTTTAACAAGAGTATTTCGTGAAAAATATCATTAGGTACCTACGTAGATTTTGTCATCACAATTTAATATTTTTATTGCAGACGGCTTAATAGCTGTCTACATGACCATCAACTTAAATACACTCCAAATCCTTTTCTTTTTTTTTTTTTTGTTTGAATCCAATCCGTCAATATATATTTTTTTTAAATACTTCGTACGTACGTAAGAACTACGAACAAAAAACTCCTGATATTGATTTACGTACGCAAATCGTTTTACCAGTTTAAATATTGATCAATTACTCGGTATTAGTTAGGCAAACTTCACCCACAGTCGAGCTTGCATAAAATACGAGCAATAAAATATCAGACTTCGTTCCTTAGTAATTCATCTAGGTATGTAGATATCAATTAGAATCAAACGATAACGATAAACTGAAATACACACATAATACACGTTTCGAAATACACATGATAATAATAATTTATGTTTATAGATAGGTGAGCGATACAGCAATATCTTTCGCGACACAATTCGTTGACTTGTGTGTGATGTCATTTGTTTACGTCGGCCCTAAAGTAAGCTTAGTTTGTACAATATAGTAGTACTCACGTCATAACTCCACGTGCACGACACTCCGGCAAACTTGGCGACACAGCGGCCCAGCTCCACGTCCTCGTGCGTCGTGTACAGGTGCTTCAGGCAGTACTTCACGTGAGGCGCCACCCTCTTCAACGTTTCCCGAGAGAACAACACACCCGGCCCACCCATACAGAAGTTCTCATTGTAGTCCAGAGCCAGAGCATCTCGCTCATCACTAGTACCTCGACCGGCCTGCCCGATAAACTGCGGTTTCCTGCTGTCCACCGAACGCAAGAACTCCTCCAACTTATCACCTCTCACATACACGTCATCATCCGCACGCATGAACCACTCGAACCTATCCCCGTACTTCTCGTACATGTACAGCAACATTAAGAAAGATTTCTTTTGCGGAGGATAACTGTCGTCCACATTACGCAAGGGTACTAAAGGTAAACCAGGCGCACGCGACACTTCCGAACTGAAAAATGCGATCCGACCAGGCAAGTCCTGGCTCCAAGTTTCATACACTGCTTTTGCTCTAGAACCTAAATATTGTTCAGCTGTCATTACACCCACGAACACTAATGTCCTGTTCGAGTTGTGAACAGTCTCGTTTGGCAGCAAGCCTATCAGGGCGAGAGGGTCGGCATCGACCAACTTCGCCGATTCCGGACATGGCTCTATAGTCGTCCTGGATGAAGTCCTTAAACACAACTTGAGGAAAATCCCGAAGGTTACGCCGAGAGCGACCCCCGCGGCCAAATGCATCCACCTGCTCCTCCGAGGCATCGTGGTAACACTGCAGATTCAATATGAGCACCCACTTTTACCCGGCGTCCACATGTGTGCATTCCAGGAATAACCTTTTTATCCCTTTTTTGTAGCGACCGGGAGGGGTAGACATTAGCAGGCGGCTTTTTTGTTCGATTTTCGCTCCCATCGGTCGGGGAGCGATCACATGGCCGCGCGATGCCGGCGAAATGTCGCGCACGAATTCGAACCCTATCACGATATCGCCGGCCTAAATATTGGTTTCGCAGATGTTATCGGCGTTGCGAGCGCGGCGAGGCGCGGCGCGTATAGAAATGCGACCCGTTCATGTTACGTTGCACCGCGTCGAGCTAATCGTATCGCGCGTGGGAACAGTTCGACTCGTGCGCCGCCCGCCAAGCAACTGGACCGTTCCAAAACAAAACTCAAGCAGCGGTAATTCCGACTGTCCGCGCACACCGTATTTCTTCGGTCTCTGTCGCGCCCGCGCTATCGCTCTACCTGCGTCACCCTCAGACGGCTAATGTGGGCCGGTCGGAATGAACTTGCCCCATTCATCGCGGCATGTCTGGCCGGTGATGACAATAGACAATGCGGTGGTCGCCCATTGTCTGGTGGGTCACCGGCTCGCGGAAACTACATTTTATGACCTATTTGCAGAAGTCCGGGAACTACGCCAGATCAGAGGAAGTCGAGTTCCTTTACTTGAATAGGCTGTTACAAAATAACTAGGCGGCAAATCATTGCAAAAACGTCTGTATGTTCAAAAATTTTGATTTTGAATAGAAATCTGGTAAAAATCATTAATCTAATCATTAATCTTGTATAAAAGGAGAATTATAATAAGTGAGTTCATAAGTCTCTTATTAAAAAAATATAAAATTTTCTTTAAAAATATTTTTACGCTTCTTACTTCACCTTAGTCAAACACGGCGTCAGTGTTTAAACAACCGCATGCGTTCACGCATTCATTAATCACAATCTTGGCATTGACCTATTACGCAAAATGGAACAATGTTACCAAAAATCTAAGACATGACCGCACTTTTATTACGAGGTATGAAGGATCAATTTGGAACGAATGAAATGATGAAAGACTGTAGGAAAATTAAAACCAGATGTGGTGTTGAGTTGTTCAAGATCATTTGCATGGCATGGGTGTTGTCTGTCGGCACTGCAGTTTGTATAAGAACCCTTCCTGTGTTTTTGTGCGGTAACTAGAACTCTGTGAGTCGGCTACTATGTTAATTAATCAAGTATTTAAAAAGACAAACACTAGATTATTCGGGTCATGTTTGAAACAAAGAACAATGGTCATTGACTTGTCACATTTGCCAGTGTCGGTTTCGCTAGTTTTATTTTGCAACGCGCATTAACAATTTTAACTATCTGTTTGATGATTGAACATCTTGTCACTGGAGCGCGCAGCTGGGAGACTGCGCTTAGAATAACGTTACCACTTTTTGGGACAAATGTTAACTGAGCGTAAATAATTATTAAAACTATGTATCAACTAAATGATGAAAGAAATTGAAGTAGCTGCTACTTTAAAAAAATAGATACTTAAAAAACGCAAAAGCATACGCATGTTGTGGACTAATTTCAATATCCAGTGAATTATGTCTTCACGAATTCGATCACTGTTTTGTGTCTATTGACACCTAAGTATAATCTACTTATAAGTTCTGTAATATAAATATATTAAAGCCAAAAAGAAATCGTAATTTTGTTTCAAAAAACGGTTCGAAAGAATAAACAGATTACCGATTCAACAGCTTTTAAAAATTTCACGTGGACAATTTGAAATAGTTAGATTTTATTTTTATACCTAACTGTAGGTTGCCTTTTTGGCGTAGTTCCCAAACATTTCGTATGTACCTATGTATAAATATTTACTTACTTATTCAAATGCAAATTAGTAATTGAATTGTGTTACAAATTACTGTACCTACCTACCATTCACTACTAAAACAAAAAAAGTATCAATAAAAGTTAATAATTGGAAAATATTGTTAGGAATAAAACAAAAAATGAAAATAACAATTTTTATTTATACATTTCGTTTGTGAAGCTGTAATGTATAAAACTTCCGGCCACTCTACCGAAGCCTTCACTTATAATTTACTACTAGTAACATTCTTTTATACTACAAATAAATAAAAACCTCGATTGGAACACTGTTCCGTAGTTAAGATGGACGTCTATTGAGATAGAGGCGAGCAGGGATGAACATTCGAAGAATACCCTAAAATAAAATCAATTTTACCCACGTTATATCCTTTTATGTACAACGCCATCAACGTGTGTTCTTGGATAAAATCCTCATATCCATTTAAGTAGACCAACAGTACCAAATCTATGGGCACCGCACTTTTCTCACCTCGTGCCTCGATCACGCCAACTCGACTCAACCCCAATCACCCGAAAGATATATTCACTCAAATTAATCATAACACTAGAGTATTTTTATATCTACATACAAAAATAATATATTATAAGCTTTATTGTGAGCTCTGAAGGTACATTTTCATACAAAATACTTCCAAAATCACAATACCCCTTTTATTTCTCACTATTCTATACACATTTTCATCCTTTTTTGCAAAAATACCATTATTATAGGAGAATTTTGTATGAAAATGGAACAAATGCTTATTTTAGCAACGCGTGCCACGTGAAAAATTAAATTATAAAGTCTACTTAAGTCATTTAATTAGATCTCAATAATAAATCTACGTAACTTTAGCGGTAGCATCGACTGACAGTAAAACTGTCAAACTAGAGTATAGTCCATTTCGGTGCAACGATGCTCTTACACTGCTGTTTTAAAAATGTTTGAGCTGCGATTCCTGTAAGGCGGGGCGGACAAGAGCAATTGAAATAAACATCTTTTTTCCACTTCGCTTCATTTATATGGATTCCATGTTTTTGGTGAATCTCACCAAAAACATGGCGGCACAACTCATCTCAGGTTTACCCCAGTGAAAACGCAACCTTAAGTAAATTGCTGTTCCGCTTTGTTTTATTTTATGAAATCTTTTTCTAATATTTTTCACAGCAATGTAGAAACACCTAAGTGAAGGAAGGCCAATTAATCTCATTTAAAAAAATATTTTTAAAATAATGAAAATGGTGATTCTTGTATAAATAAATCTCGAGCAGCATGTATCATTCATACAGATTTCTAATTCATATCATGGTGTTCAGTCGATTATAGCTTTTATTGCCATATGGATTAACGCAATTTTCTAATAAAAATATTCACATTACGTATTTTGCAAGTAAGGCGCATAAAATTCGCATGGCAATAAAAACTTTAAACATATAATATGTAGATTGCGATGAAAGAATAATAATAGAAAATATAACAAAATTGCACATGTGATATTTACAATATAAACATTATACTATTTATTAGTAAAAAAATACAACGAATGGTGCTTCTATGGTGCATTTTAAAGGACGTAAAAATGGCGGCATTATAAATCTTTACAACATGAAAACATTTTGAAAATACATATTAGTAAAAGAATTTGTAAATACGAACATTTTAAAGTCATTCACGTGGTTGAAACTAGGAACGTAAAGACTCGGTTTTAACATCGTAATCGTTTCCAAGAGGCAAGAATATAAAACAATCCATGTTTACAAGGTAATAAGCGGAATATTTTTGTTAATTTTTTATCATAAATTATATCTCACACATAATAAATGCACAATTTTTCTAATAGTACCATTATTTTTCGATAAGATAGAACACTGATGTGGTTTATTTCCGTAGTTTACAGTTTTTAGGGTAACTATGTCGGATTACAGAATTATAAAAATCGAGAAATGCCTAAAATTGCACAGAGCTCGCTACGCATCGTCAATCGTCGTGCAAACAGCTAATGACTAAGAGCTCCAGTTTCCCTTGAAAATAGTCGAGCATTGTTAGTAACATTCATACGTCGTTTATTTTTTATAGCACACAAAATTGAAAACATAAATTTTCCTGTTCTGGTTAAGCATACCTGATTTTAGATCAAAAAGCTAGTTTTCCCAGAAAAATCCTAATAGGTGTAACCATCAAAACATCTTTATCTTTAAATCAAAGATCGCCATCGAAACAGACAACTCGATAAGTATCGACAGATCTTGTACATATTAGTGCCTACCTACATGTCACCAATTAGACAGAACATGGTCAACTAATATATCTTAATAGCAATAGAAAAATACTAAGAATTCTTAAAACATTTCCGTTTTTCGGCCATCAAAGTGTTTGTTTCCTTAGATCTGATAAAATGTTTTAGAGCCATTTAAGTGTATCTGTATGTAGTTCCGTAATATAAAATTACAACAGGGAAAAGACATATTTTTTGAATTATCTTTTAAGGAAACTGTTACAATAGATATTAGGTGTTATGTTTCAAAACTTAGATGATATCCAAGTTGGTTTAAAATTTATTGTTTGTGGAGGTTCCTTCTGTAGCAATTTAAAATACATCTTTTATTAAAATCCCACTTAATATTTCCTGGACATAAAACCATCCAGCATAATAATATATAGTAATAAATAAAAATTAGTGGCGTGCCTAAATCTCCAAGTGACAATAGCCTTTAACGGCACGATAAGACTATTATTGCTCTTGTAGGAGCAAGTATTTTTGTTTTTCTACTACTATTATTATTAGTTTTTATCAAAGAAAATGCGAGTGGGGCATACACTATTTGTTTTCTTCTCCTGCCATGATGCCTTCTTTAGGTCTAAGGGAATTGTTCGAAGCCAAAGATAGTTTTCAAGTCAAACCAACAATATTATGATGGATACGTAAAAGGGACTTGAGCATTCTTTATAGAGTATGCAAAACTGCATAATGAAAATAACGATTTAGTCACATGAATTAACTAAGAAAAACTTTACTAGTTTTAAATCACAATGGAACTCTTATTCAGGAGACGTACGATGTGTATACATCGCGGTGACGTGCACGTCGTCGCCGCGATGTGTACACAAATTTAGTTTGTATCACGATAGTTACTATTCAAAAACGGCATATTCGTATAACACCAAAAATGTCTAAGTATGCCGTTAAAATTTAAAGACACTGGAAATAGTCCAGTTGCCAAACACCTGTTCGTTATTCAAATCGATCTGATCTCAACCCCTTTATTCCTAAATCAGTTATTATTTCCATTCACTGACTTCAAAAAAGGAGGAGGTTCTCAATTCGATGCGTTTTTATTTTTAATAAGTATGTAGGTAATGGGAATGATGGCCTTTTAATCTACAAATAATATCTGCCATTATAAGCTCCACCCCTAGCAAAGTGACCCTATGATGTCCATGAAATTGAATAGGCGCTTGAACATCTGTTAACTCGTAATTATCGCAAACAATAAAGTTTGTATGATATTATTATGTTTTTTTAGAGGATATTGAGCAAACGAGCAGGCGAATCACTATCTGTTGGTAAGAAATGCAAGTCTAACGAGAACACCAGAGGCGTTGCCGTTTGATACATTTTTAACTTTAATATTTCGCAATAAAAACGAAACGTAAGCAATAAAAATATTAAGAGAGATTTGATACAGTTTAGGGAACCATAATGAAGCTAACGTTTATCATCAAAAGTATATTTTGTTGGACTCTGGATGACTATATTGTTAACATAGCGAAACCGAGAGCAAATTCCTCAAACAAGTTTTAGAAAAATAATTACTTACATGTAATTTATGGTAACCTTGATCCGAAATAGCATTGATAAACTGAGCTTTAATAACATAATTGAATAAAATTGCTAACATAATTTTGTAAGAATTTCAAAAGAATGCAAAAGTTAGAAATGATTACATGTATGAATAAGAATCGCATGATCTATTGCATGTGGAAAAACTAAACTTATTTGGCAATAATATAACAACCGCTATAACGATTTAAATAATATTTTATTTATTAAATATTGAAAACATTTTAATAATAGAAGTTATGAACCCACTGTGGTCAAAGTGAATATTTTTATCCGTTTATGGCAATGATCGTATGGCGCAGAAAGACAGAACTGTTTTAAAGAATATGTCGTAGTTTTGAAGTCTTGGCAACACCCTTTATAAATTCAGGGACTTTTATTTTATAAATAGGTATGTATATATAAACTTCTAAAAGTTTCAACAATATTCCAGTCACATTGAAAAAATTGGTTAAGATCAAAATGTAAAAAACATAGATATCTTGGTCAACCTACCGACGATGGCCGGAGAGTCGACCAAGATATCGTTGGGATTGGTAATATGGTGAATTCGGATTTGGGAGTCCATCGACTGCCAAAGGGTTGCGAGAAAAAAGCCAAGTCCCACTTTCGGACCCTAAGCGAGCGGGCGGAGTCAGTAAATATTCAATATTTACAATAGCAGCCTAATCCAATCTAGATAACTTAGAAAAGCCAAGTCTATCTGATGAAATCGTAGGAAACTATATAATTGCTATTATTATATATTAAATTGTGATGAATTTGTAGGCTAAATATCCAAATTCCTTGGACAGAATTCGTCTTTCGGTAACTTAAAAACATGAATGTAGTAACTTAAAAACATGTTTTTTGGCGTGTTTTGCGTGTGTTATCGCTTTAATGTATATCGTTTCCAGGCCGGAGCAGAACAAGGACAGGGGGCGGTTTTCAGACAGTAAGAGTCTGACACTCCCTCTCGCCTCAACCTGGTTGAGAGAAGCCTCTGGACAATATTAGACCATCAAAAAAGGTATTTTTTGTAATTGGGGATCACATGAACTAGCGTATCAATCTTTTATTTTCTAAAATAAAATAATTAAGAGTAGTTTTATAACAACAAAAAGTAGTATATATTCAGTGTTCTCACATTTATTTTCTTTACTCGAGTAACGATTTTTTAATAATAACTAATTAATCTCACTCAAACACGCATCATTTATACGTAAAAGGGAAAAATATAGCGACATACTATTAGTTCTGTAAAGTCGATGAATCAGTTATTGATTCATCTCTTACTTTATAAAAAAACAATGTGATGTGATGAACAATTGTTTGATATTATGTGCATCAGTGCTTAAATTGTTAAACAAAGTATGATAAGATAAAAACCGCTTTGAAGAATTAAAAACATGGCAATTAGCGGAAACAATAATTATTGTAACGGCAACTCTGAATCTGCTAATACACATCGACCTATAGACTCTATGTTTCAAACTACGAAATATTCAAATGCATCATTAAATTCCGACAAAACCCGACACTATTACTTCTGTAGACCTTTCTCTACACCATTCCGAACACTCGATGTTTGCTGTTTAAAGACTGATAGACGCGGTTACAAAGCCGCTAAGTCTACTCGCATTGTTATCAGTTCCATTTTGTTGTCAAACCGCCATTTTCTGTCAGTCACAACCTGATTCACAGGAGTATCCTTGAGTTCATCTGGAGAAATCATTTCTCTGTAGTCCTCTTACAAATATTCGGGGTCCTTACTCTGTTACGGTACCAGGTCATCCAAAGCTTTGTCCCTGTTAAATTCGTGCTTAGCTAACGCTGCAGACACCCTGCCTTCTGGGAAGCCAAGGTCCATCAAGTCACCGAGTATTAATAGACCTTCGATCACCTGAAATTGAAAGAGATTTTTTCTTAAAAGGACAGACCTTTTTGTTGCTTTGTGAAATTTGCTGTATTGATTTGGTGAAATTGATCCCTAAGCCTGATCCTGGTCGAAAACGTTTTTTTATAGTACTAGTAAGTAACTTTGAAACGCTAAACTGTGAAATCATTTTAGAATAAGTGTAAAGGTCCTAAATCAAGATCAGTTAAATAGGATAATAGAAATCTAAATTTGTTGACTTGACTTGACTATATCCACGCATCGTATCAGGGCTCGATACCCCCACGGAAAACTCGTGTGATCCACAAATTGTTGGTCCGTGTCTGGGTGCGAAATCCAAACACGACACAGCAGAAAATCTTAGTGTGGGGAAAAGTTAAAAAGAGTTTTAACCTGTTTTTTGCGTTAAACGGTTGCTAACAATTTAGATTATAACATAATCAATTCGGAGCAGTCATTCTTGCACAGGTAACAACTAAAACTCGCACATTTTCGTCCTATTTGTTGCGAGGTAAAAAGTTTGAAAAGAAACCTGACACAGGCCTTTTATCATTCTATTATAACTAATGAGTTTGCTTGTTGTAATATGATTTCGCTACTAACATCACAACCACTAATGAGTTTAAGTAAACTTTGTTATCGGCTTCAAAATAAGCTACATAATTGGGTTATTATATTATCAGAGTTTTTAGTAACTACTTTACTGTAAGTAAAACATTTAAATTAACTTGTTAATGAAGGTTGAATGTCGAACAGAATCTATAATAGAGCAAGAGTGGACAAGTCACGGCACATGAAATGATTGAACCAGATTGCAGGCCGACACGGTTGACTGGTCTATGCTTCAAAATGAATTTCTTTATTATATTACTTGTTGCACTACTTATACAAGATTTTTTTCAACAGGAATTGTGACAAATGAATTTTTTGGTGGTGCAATAATAAACTGTGCTAGTCAGCTAAACAAATTCAGAGGATATGTATACATGTGGTATAAAACATCAAATTAATTAAGTATAGGTAGTTAAAATGATTGATAGTTACTTTATCAATTTTGACGTCAAATATATTAACTACATCCACGACGCCATATCTGCTACGATCTTAGTTCATTTACGGTGTTATACAAGTATTTTGTACACATTCTTAAGTAGATATCAGCCTAATACCCACTAGACACTACATGCTGTTCCAGTGACACATTCCTATTAAAAAACTATGTTCATATTTCATAATATCAAACATACTGCCAACTAACAAAAGGCTTTATATTTTATATTTTCTTACATCTATTAGCCTGCCGTCTTCTTGACAAGGTATTACTCAAGATGAACAGATTACTATAAGAAATAAACAGTCACAACTCCACACAATACCAATAAAGTTATGAACTAAATGTCTATATTGAGAACTGATGCACTGCCCATGTGTATGCAAATAATCAATACCAATCAAGCATTCAAAATTGGAGATGAATTGAAATGGCATTGATATTGATTGAGTTGCAGACAGTCAGACAAATAGCAATGGTCTATATTGCATATTAGTTGTTTAGAATAGTTTGTAAATAATTTCCTGTGAGGAAAAAAATCTAGTGCAATATTGTTTTAACTATATGAACCGAAAAAAATATGTATAAAAGATCTCCTAGGATCATTCTTGGACATCCTTGAGACTTTCTTGCTTATCTTAATAAAAGAACTTTAAAACCATTTTAAAATAAATTTTCTCATAAAATAATGCATTGATTAATGATTATACTCACTTTTTTGTCATTATCACCTACAAGGGTACACACCCTAGCTACCCTGTCAAGAGGAAAACCCATTCCATGAATCTTCCTACACATGTCCTGCAACCTTGGTGACAACTTCTCAAATGGATTTGGCAGGTTCTCCGTTCTTTTCCTAGTCCTCTTCTCCTCCTTACTTTCACTACTTGTAGCGGGAGTGGATGCCTGTGGAGATTGGTTTTTAGGAGCCGGGCTGGCATTGTATGATCTCTCACTCATCCGTAGTTTAGCCAGTTCTTCATTTAGTTCTCTAACAATGTCGGGCACACTTCTAGACCTAGATTTCACTGCAGCTTGTGGACCTGCAACTACTGTAGTTTGATCTGAGCTCTCATTTTGCATCACAACTTGGTAAGCCTCTGGTGCATTCCCAGGTGCATATGCCACAGGAACTTGAGGATACTGGTGATAGTAATAAGGCTGTGGAATGTATGAACCATTTGGCACATGACCAATATCTGCTGATGTTGTTGGCATCTGACTTCCATAGTATGGTTCTACGGGAGTGTATGGATTAGGAGGGACATAGTATTGATAGTTTTGCATGTACATATTAGCAGCTTCATTATCTGTGGGTATATAATACCCATTAGTGATTGGATAATGTTGTGGAGATCCATACATCATATTTGAATTTTGGAGGGGTTGATCTAAATATTGTGCTGGTAAATATGTGACCCCCTCCATATGTGGCTGGGAGGCACAATTAGGAATGACATAGCTATTTTCTGGAGCATAACTTGGCTGAGGCTGGCAACTTGTTGTAGAATCTTTCTGACTTTGCAGCACCTGTGCCAGCAGCTCCATATCATTTATAGTCTTCAGCTCCACATTATCAAAGGGACTTGAAGTATCATTCTCAAAATCTCTAAATGTTAGTGTGTCTATGTTAGGGTTATGGGGTATTTTAGTAATCATTGTATTTAACTTTAAATTCTGTAGAGGATCAGGATCATCCAGTAGGCTGTTCTCCTGTAGATGTGTCTTCACCTGTATGGGCTGCAGTATATTAAGTTGAGACTCAGTAGCAGCACTAGTTGTTGGATAGTTAACAGTAGTTGACACATTAGTATGCTCTAAGGGTTTATCTACTTTAGCAATGTTATCACAGTTTTTATCGGCTTTCTCATCAGGAGACAATGGGCTAATTTCGTCAGTACTTGGGTATGATACCTCTGACACACTCAGCTGTTTAAGCCGCTCCTCGTCTTCGGCGGCAGCTATCGCGTCCAGCCTTTTCTGTTCCGCCTCTTGCAGCAGCTGGAGACGATGCCGCCTTTCATTCTTTTTCGTTTCCTTCGCATTTCTAAGCTCCTTAAGTTTGGCAAGGACGTTTCTTTCAAACGCACACGAATAATTAGCGCTGTCGACGACAGCCTGAGCTCTAATTGGACATTCGTTTACTGTATAAGGTAAATCAAATCTAAGTGGCCTTTTATACTTCTCAGATATTTTAACGGGCACACCGTCCATAAAATCTCCAAAATGTGACATATCAACGCACTATTCTGGCCAGATAACGATGATTATCAAACAATGAGAAAGCAAAGTTTGTTTCTTTTAACACTTTTAAGGTTACATAGTCCCAATTCAACGTCATCACTCGTTAAATAGTTCATATAATTATCTCAATAATTTCACACTTCCTGAAATGTTTTCCATTATTACAACAAATAATTTTTATCTGGAAAATAGATATTTTTGTACGTAATTTTATTATTTTTACGTGTGTCTGGCAAATACTGTCAAACAGATTGTAATAGGAAAAAAATAAACATTTTGAACATACATTGTGTGAAACAAGGATACCACTAGCAATTACTAATTAGAAAAACTGAGATATACGAATAAAAGGCTATAGATCTCACAGTTCCCCAAATGGAACGAAATTCATAATGTCACTGTCACGCAACCACTCACTGTCAAATCATTGTTGCAAAGAGAAAAAAAACTACATAAACTATTTTTGTCATGTGATTTAGATTTCGGATATGTTTAATTTTTTATAGAAATAAAGATTGTAGCATTGAAAATTGATATCGACAAATATTAAAAATTAAGCGATGAACCAAATTATTTTCCATTTATCACTGGCTCAAAATGGAACTCCATAATTTGAAGTAGAAAAAAATAAGATCACGTGTACTACTTCAGTCAGTCCCGTCAGATGTCGCTAGTGTTGCTCCCTAAAGTCATGGCGGATCTTCCTCATTAGATTTTACAGATTTGCCATAATTCGTGGGTAGATTTATTATTACCGGCGTCGAAATAATTATAGCTAGTTTTGTTCACACAACGGAAAGCGAGCGACACGTTACTATCGACACAATTGAAGGCCGAAAGCTAAAGAATTGGAAAGAACGTCCCACTTGACGATCGTCTCGAATTTCGGCATACTCAAGATAAATAGAATCACTCGATTTCGACGTCGCACCATACTCTAATTAATTTACTACGCCTACTATGACGCAATAGTCGCCCGCCACACCGGACGCCATCGGATTAAACGCTCGAAATACAGGTTGGTATCATAAAAATAATATTTAATTTCGCCGGTGAACCTCTCTCATAACCTGAACTGCCGGCAGGGTAAAGAGGCGGGCATGAACGAGGGCGCGCCAATGATGTATCATGGGAGCGGAGCCTTCGGAGGGCCAGGGCAGATATTCATGATGGGTGGACAGGAGCGTTCGGCTCGCCACTATCCGCTGGACGCTCTGCAGAGCTTGGGCGGGGGCTCGCCAGCCGGACACGCCACTCCGCGCCGCTGGCAGCCCCGCCGCGACCGCCACCCTAGCGCTAAGGGTGCAGGAGACAACACAGCCTTTGGTTATGACTCAGATGACTCCAGCCTCTCAAGTAATGCCTCTGGCTCCAACAAATCTGGAGAAAAAGGTAAGATCCTATTTCTGTTATCATGTTAGCTTCTGCGTGTTATTATCATGTTTACATCAGCAAACAGGAAACACTGAGATGACCCACTGCCCTGAGTGTAATTAATTTCTATATTAGTTCATGTTAAGCATAAGATTTAGTGCTAATTTAATTCCACCCTCATTTATTTTTATGACATTGAATAATTTTGGATTTGTAATTTTGTTTATTTCTTGTGGTGTTTATGGTTTAAGATCAAAAACTTTTTTAAAGCATACAAATGACACACTAAAAATTTCTAGTAATATTAAATATATTTTGTCATGTATAAATTGTTAGGTTCTTGCATACCTACATTTTGGGTAACCCGCTAACGCTACCAGGTCAATAAAACAATACTGCTTACATGATTTGTTTTTAAATACTGTTGTAAACAATTAAACAACTTGATAATGCCTTATCACAGTGGTAACTGATAAGTAATTTAAATCTAATTTAATTTTTTCTGCATGTATTTTTGTGGGGTACAATGACATTAATAAATTTAAATGAATAATGCATCCAAGTTTTGGATACTGCATAGCAACCATAAACATTGATCATTTTATATCTAAAGTTGTCATTCTGTTATTTATGGAGACATATCTTTACAAAGAAGTTGAATCTTTTTGTCAAAAAGTATTGGTATCAGTTGATATTTGAATACTGCTACAGTTACCCCTTTATTTAAATTTACCTCTTTATTTTTATTTTATGTTTCAATTTAGTTTTTAAGCAACCAAACATCAATTTTAAAATATTTGCTTGTTATAAACCTAAGGTCCGTAACAGCATCTAGCAGCTTGCTCACAATTAACTCAGAAAAGTACTGAAATATTTTCATATGACAAGAGTAGAATGTTTAGGTGTACAATATAATTACATGAAGTGAACTCAACACAATGCATGCACAAAATAATAAGCTACTCTTGTGACAGAAATGTACAACATAACACAATCAAAGCACATGTGATCAAATGATACTAGTGCTAGGATTTGTGTACTCCACTTGTTATATTACATTCACTAACAAATTATAGAATATCCTTCATAAAAGTGGGGCAGTGCTTGCTAATTACTCCGAACACGCGACCTCTCACGCGGCAAACATTTTATTTTTAATATTATTTCTCAATTTCCTGGCGCCAACAAATGCGCAGTTTTGTTGCAAACTAAACACGGTGATGTGATAAGGAGGAAGCTATTCCTTTATTTTTAAATAGCTTATGATGTGCCTCATTGTCGCGCTCGTTATAAGCCTCTCTCAAATTGAGTGAAGAACAAACTGTTTACACGAGTTTATGTACACACATAAAATAAAAAGGAGAATCGTGTAGGCACCTAAACTCGCCAGCTTAACAATATTTCGTCAAAATACGATGTCGTAATTGCTTGCGTTCCTGTTTACTGTTTCACACGTGCAGCCTATACATTTCGTAGATCCAGAATAAAATCCCATTGTAGACACATTTCTGCTGCGTTATATTTAGATGTTTCGAATAGCCTCTAACTCAACGACATCATTTTGTACTTTATTGCATTATCATAAAGGTGACAATAGAAGGCGTCGGGTACATGTCTAACGTGACGTTAACTTGGTATATTAGATAACATTGTAAATAATATCTAAATGATTTAACCTTGAGAACGCCAGAGATAAGTAAATAGATCGGTATGATTCTCTCGAGAAGCGTGTTTACACTGATATGAAACTAAGAAAATAGAAAAATAGCGCACAGTTAATGCCGCCCCATTTAAACACATCATGACCGAGTCTCTCAGTGACGCGCAAATTCTGAAGACGCACAAGTTTAGCACACCACCTTGTTTTAAAATTCCTATGACGCTCATTCTCTGCGATGTGTATATTAGCAATAACTACAAGACGCATTAATGTCGTACAATGAGAAGAAAGGTACTATTCAAAACCTTGCTTAAGACTTTTTTATTATGGAAACAAGCTACTCCAAGAAAACTACCTGCACGTAGTTTACTAGTCGTATCGAAAACTAATACAACTGCGTCTTAGAATTCGTTTAATCTGTAGACGTCAGATTGTTAAGTACCTGCACTCATCTAAGACTACGGTTAGAATTTTACTGTTCTTGTTGGTAAATAGAGCGAGAAAACATCATTGGTTAGCTTGGAGTTCTAAATATGAGAAGTATCCGCTTTCAGATGGCAAATCGTCCGTTGAATTTCCAAATTAGCATAAAAATCTTAATTCGTTCGTTATGCTATGCTACTCCACGTCCACGACTGAGAATACGACGGTGTACATTTGAGACACGTAGGTATGAAGTAGGTACCTACTTATAGTGATAAAAAATATTCTGAAAAGAACCTAATAAAACTCTTAACACACGTTAAGTGATTCCTGCTTAGTCTATGGGACTAAATTAGATGGTGTACCATTGTAAAAAGATAAACATGTCGATCAAAGGTATCATAGTAGATGTTTTCCTATTAATACTCAACATAAAATGACGTCTGTATTAAATAAAAACTATTTTAAAACTATTACCTACTCCTTGGATGGACGTACCTATGTACCAAGGCGTCATGACACACTCGAATATTCTAGAATAGTGCGCTTTATAGATTATAACACATACCAAAGACGTATGATGTACCGACCTAACCTACGCAGCAGTAAACTCGCGTAGTTTTATGTACCTACCCATAAGTCGCCATTCTATACGTAAACGTATTTTAGCAAAATCTTGAAAGACTTGCAAAGGTGTTTCTTTTGTCGGTTTAGCCTTAGCTCGCAAATCTCTTGTTGTCATCCCTTTTATATGGGTGTTATACCCATAACACCAGCTCTGAAAGCTTACCGTAAAATGATCAGTTTGCTTGTTTTCTTCCCAATCCTCTCCAACTCCAAAAAAAATGATTTTATTAGAAAGCCGGTAGGAACAGAAATTTCGACATTATAAAACAGGCCCAAGCGTAAGCAAATCAACTAATATTGAAATACCGTCTACGAAAATATCCGTAAAGCGGCTAATCTGAAATGGCATGACATTGTTTTGTTACCACGTCGGATAACATTATTTTAATATGTGTTTATTTAAAAATCTTAACCGTAAATTCCATAACAAATCAATATGAAACTTCACACACTTGCAGCAACTTATATTTTTCCATGTACAACTGTTTTATATCTTGAGAATCCCGTGGCTTATTAATTATTGATTACTGTTGCTAAGCTGCTTGGCAATTTTTTCATCAAACTTCAGCCAATTAAAACTTTGTTAGCACGAGATCTAAATTTTCCAGTATGTTGCTTCACTTAAATTGTGTAAATAAAATTAATTAAAAACACTTGCAACTATCAAGTACGAGTTAGCAAAATGTACTTAAGTTATACCCACATAGAATTCATATTGCAGGAAACATTTTTGGTAATTATGTCATGAACGCAGTAGACCAAAATTTAACTTGTGAGTCAAGCTAATTGAGTTAAGTATAAGAAATAGGATATCCTTAAATTACCAGTGGACTGTATGGTTATCCAAGATTATGAATAAGTTGACAAATTCTAGACGAATCTAGTATTTTTCAGACTGCACATAGTACACGTAAAATCCAGCATACTCCAGTTTCACTATCAAGCAATTTATGCTATGCTTTCATGTGATATCTTTTCTATTGTGTGACGTAAAGGAATCGGGAAATCCACTCGTAACGAGTAGATAGGTACTTGTTAATTGAACTTACTATTTTATTACTTTAATTAATTGACGTTACACTTCTGATTTTGTAGGAATATTGGGAGAAAAATAGCCTTTGTTTTAAAATATGTTCACAGTGCATTAGTGTCAGAATATGTTAACACTGTCTTCAGATTTGAAGTGACACTTGAATCAAAACAATGCCTATGATTGGGTAGTTTCCTACATAGATAATACATGATTCTAACTGTATAGTACAATAAATTATTAAAACATGATCATACTTTTATTAATTTATTGTTTTCACGATCTAGTTTTATTAAGCTTTTGACTGCCGACCGAAAACAATTGAAGGCAAACCCTCCGCTACCGTAGGTCACCGGTGACCTACGCGGCGGTTAACGCATTTTTTTTTCTGAATAAACTAATCCTAGGTATTTGACGATAAATTCGATTTAAATCAAACCATCGAAAAGTATCGTTTTAACCTTTAAGTTTACAAGCCGGAAACAATTAAAAGAAAAGTATGTAAATTACATACGTTATTTTGACAATTAAGTGGCCTTGTAGTTGTAAAAGAGGTCCCCCACTTCAAAATTAGGGCATCTATAGGCACACTGATTGCTTGCGGTCCCCATAGCAACTGTATGTCGCAGTGCCACGCTTCACGATACACCGGTGTATGCCATATGCCAGGTCAATCATGTTGGCAGCTATTTTATTAGACCATTTAAAGGTAGAAGACCATTATTAAATGAGTATTTTTTATTATATTTGTTTAAAATTCAATATATCCTAATTGTTCATTGTTAGCACAGCTCTATATGGGCTTGCGTAAAATATGTATAAATAGATAGATGCCTTTATTACAATATATATTTACAAAATATTGTATGCCTTTATTACAATGCGTAGTTATTTTCTTGTAATATCTATATCACAGCCTCGCTATAATCATATTATTATAACTAGCACTTCCCTGGGGCATTCCCCGTGCCATAATTTATTCTAGTTCTCGTAACGTGATGTCAGATTGCTTTATATTCCTCATGTTTAGACGTATCAAATGTAAAAACGATAGAACTAAATATGTTAGCGTTAAAATAAAAAATAAATTCAACCAATATGCAAAATGTGTAGATGTTTATATTTATTCATTCATCCCTTATCTTTACGAACTGTATAATGGATAATCCTTAAACCCAAATCGTCTATTTACACTGTTTAGCAGTTGGACAACCCTAAACAATCAATATTTTTTATTACATTTTCAACTTCATTACAATAGTATATAATTGAAAATAGATTAAACAGAAGACGGTCACGTCTGGTCCATAAATTGTATATTGTAAGTATTAGATGAAGAGAGAACTTATGTTTGTGGTGCAGGCGAGGAGTCATCCCGCAACACGGAGCGCACGTCGAGCGGGCACTACACGGGCGGCTACGGCCAGGGGCGGGAGTGGCGCGGCCGCCGCGGCCGCGATGTTCGCCCGCAGCGACGCATCGCGCCCGAGAGGTACCTCAATGGCTCCTACCCGTTCCAGGTCAAGTTTACGCCCGACGACTTGCTAAATGGTAAGAGACATTAAAAAAACCTACTGTTACTACCTGCATCACCTACAGGTTGTCTAGTATACATAAACATGAAGCAAAAAACCCGGTGGAGCACACGAAGAAAACCTTATTACTGTTACTAATGAATTACTTTTTTGCAATCACAGCGTGCTAAGTTAAATACCCCCACTGTTATCTGGTGACTATGATTTCAAACAAAAACCTACGGATGTTCACTCCACAGGTTGTTTGCTCTATGATACATAATGATTACGAGTACCATTTGTCATTAAAAAAGTCCACCTATGATCCACTAGGTACCTACGTAGATTTGATTTCTCACATATAACTGGATGATCATAATCAGCCTTAGTCCCATTGAATGCTGGACTTAACACCCCCCCCCCCTCTCTCTCACACACACACTCTCTTTCCCTCTCTCCCCCTCTCTTTGTAGCTCTCTCTCTCTCTCCGTCTATACTATACTTTGGTATCATGGATCATCCATCAATTGATAACAAAAATGTCAAGTCGAGATGTTTTGTTAATGTTTGTTATTAAAATGAGAAGTTTCGAAAAATATTTCAATTTTTGCCTTAATTTCACACTTGATGTTTACACAAATGTACAAAATATGTTAATAGGCTAAAACAAGACGAAAATACAGTAATATGTAAAGGAAGCGATATATTTATATGATAATTGTTGCCATTTTCATACATAATAAATTAAATGTTGAAACAAAAGCTTGGGTTCAAGGTTATTTTATGGATAAAAACAAAAAAAAATGGTAGCAAGCCAAGTTATAAAAATATGAACTCCCAAAATTATTAGTAATAATAATTAATCTTTAATAAAAAGAGCGATCGCAGTGGGGATACCATACCATTTTTTTCTAACATTTATAAGCTCTTAGTGATGACGTCGGAGATCGCGTCTTTCATCCCTTTCTTGTTAACTGACATTGCAAGTAAAATAATTCTAGTAAAAGTAAAATTCCCTGTAATATTGTTTTTTACCTTTAACATTTTTAGGTTCAAAATGGGACACATTGTCTCAAGAAATCTGGGATAAGTTCATTAAATCACAACAAACAGAGGAGACATTCAGGAAGAAAATGAACCTTTGGAGATATCTTTTCATCACAATAAAGGTTTGTGTCAAATATTTATAACCTACGTAAAATTTTTGCATTTTATTAAAAACTATGTAACCCAATGAACCTATAGATTAATGTGGAAATATCTTGGATACAGATTAACTACCAGTTACCCATGGATGGGTCTTACGCATCCCTCACATGTTCTATAACCTCACTGCGATCCTCAAGATCTATTTAATTCGATAACTTGATTGCGATCGTCATTTGTGTATGGGTTTATGGCAAACTTCTCGTCCTAAACGTCTTTGATCAACAATACACCTTCAACTGACAATGTACAATGTTTCCAGACAATATTCCCGCGCTATGGTCTGTACGTGGTGGGCTCTACGATGTCTGGGTTCGGGCTGGACTCGTCCGACATGGACCTGTGCCTGTACGTGCGCCCCGTGGACGACCTCGACCCTCGCGCGCACGCACTGCTACACCTCAACTATATACTCAGCTACATACGGAGCTTTGATCCTAGTAAGCATACATTACTAACGGTAAAACAAGTCGAATAGAATTTGAAAATTGAATAGATATTGGCGAACTTTTCTATTATCTGTTCACCCATCTTCTGGGTATATTCACCTCGTTTTACGGTATCTTAGATTTAAATATAAAATGATGAAATACATATGTAATCCTAAATTTGTTAATCGATATCTGTGTTTGACATAATTCAATGCAACCAATATCAAAGCTACATGACCATGGTGTTATTTGGAACGATGGACATATTCAAGGATCCGATTTTAGTGCTCAATTACAACAACTTTTTGATGACGAGACCAATATCGGAATGTCAAAAATAAATTTATATCCCCATACAATATCGCAACAGGTGATTTATCATTTTTACGTGGAGAAGATTCATTTTGAGAGATTTCTGTATTGGTCTTATAGTAAAAGTTGTTTTATTTAAGCACCAGAATCGGGTCCTTGAAAATGTTCCTTGTTTAACCTAACACACTGTATAATCTTGACCATTTGTCAGCATTTAATATGAATATGCATGTCACAATAAGTTTAAAAATTGTGCAACAATCTGATCTATGAAATCTATAGACTTCTCGTGAAATAATTGTTATCTATATAGTTAGAAACTGATTATGAAAATTGCAACTCATTGCACTTTGCACCATATTTAATATGATTTCTGCATAGTTGAGTGAAGAATTTGGTGATACTTTAAACTCATTTTATCAATCATCTTACTGTTGATCATTAATTTTGTATTAAAAATACATCAATCCATACGATTTAGTCTTATAAAGAGCATTTGAGTTTCTTACATTGAACGTTTATGTGCTAAAAAATCATTTATTTCAAATATACCACTATAGGCATTTTGAATGTCAAACAAACAAAAAACAAATATAAAAAAGTTTGTGTCGCAGTCTGTTGGTCTGTCCTCTAGTGCTGTGTGCTTGATCCAAAGAATAGATTCCCATGAACAAAGACGAGCAAGAAACAAACATATATTCCTCCATGGTTACTCTTTTTCAATCAATTTCATCCTTGACAAGTACCCAACATATAAGTATAGGCAGTTATAATTATCCCCCCACTGTGGTGCATTTAGATGCGGAACTGATCCAGGCGAAGGTGCCGATACTGAAGTTCCGGGACTCACGCAACGGCCTGCAGGTAGACCTCAACTGCAACAACGTCGTCGGCATTAGAAATACCAATCTACTGCACTGCTTCTCCAGATGTAAGTACTATAAGAATATAAAAATAATACCAAATTATACTCATTATTCGATAGCGATTTACCGGCATTAATCTCTTATGAGCTTTTCTGATCTGATAAGCTTTTAGATTGCTATCTCCTATCCTTCCTACCCAATTTAAATAACGTTAAAAAAAGAAACTTTTGTGCCTGAAAAAAGTGCCTATGTATGTATACTTTTCTACATAATTATCCTCATCATATGTCCTCACAAAAAACCGCCGCAAAACAACCACAGCGTTGTTATGAGGTTACCGGCCAAAGTAAAGGCCAGAAATGCACATAATCTTCTGTTATGGTAAATATCATTGGGTGATGCCGATTTTTTAACATTAGGAAACATTTCGTGCAGTTTTTTTAGGAGTTTTCCGTATTCATAGTTTGGTTTATCTATTTTATTGACACGTTAAAGACATCTGTAATGAAATAATTGTGTTTATAAGGGCTTTATTAACTCATTGTTTAATGAACAGGTTAGGACAAGTCTATCAATATGTGATAATGTTGAACATGATTCATTAACAACGTCATAGTTTCTCGAAAAGGCATCGATGACGAATTATTTGTACTGCATATCTATAAGTATGACTCGTGCAATATACTAAATGATGTAGATAAACTTTCATCGACCAAATAGGAAGTTATTGAAAAGGGGTCTAATGCATATAATTGTATGCCAGAATCGTTTTGTTCAGTGTATAATAATTTGCAGTGGCGGATATACGTTATTTACGTAGGGCATTGAATGCTTGATGAAACATGTTAAGAGAGATACCTTTTAGTTAGCCCATTTAGAATATTATGAGGCCAAACGTGTCTTAGCCGATGAATTCCACTTTTCTTTGATTGGATTTGAATTTCTTTTTACTGAAGCTTTTAGACAGTTAACAGTCGACCTCAATTTGTGGATTTAAGTTTAGCATTAGATAAGGGGGGAGCGCCTTGTTTTTTTATGGTATAGGTCGCCAAACAAGCAAGCGGATTACTTGATGGTAAGCAATAAGCACCGCCCATGGAAACTCGGAACACCAAAAGAGTTAAGAGTGTAATTCTTTAGGAAGGGACGGGGATAAGAGGGATTGGGTCTCTGGTTACCTTACTCACACGGAGAAACACAACGGTATGGTTGGTTCGCCGGTTTTCGGTGAGGCCTTGTATCAGTACGGTCGAGCCGGCCCATTCGAGCCAAAGCTTGGCTCTCCCACACCTAATTTTTGGATTTTTATTTTAATAATAATAAAGCTTAAACAGGTGCTTAAATAGTTGGTACAGCAATAAGTTGTTGTTGCAGTGGACTGGCGCGTCCGTCCGCTGGTGGCGCTGACCAAGCTGTGGGCCCAGGCACACGACATCAACGACGCGCGACACCGCACGCTGTCCTCCTACTCACTCACGCTCATGGTCATACACTTTCTGCAGTGTACGTATACACAATACTACTTGCATAACATAACAGATCTTGAAACCATAAATAACATTGCTAGTAAGGGTATACTTTAGGAAAAAAACAATTGTAAATTAGGGTTTGGGCAGTACCTACTAATCTATTCATATTCGGGGCTGCTCTTCTAAGTTATTAAAAATAGAAATGTTTCTTGAAAAAACTTACTTTGATATAATTTACTTAACAGATTTTTTGATGAAAGTTTATCAATTTTTCTCTTTTAATTTGGATGATTACAGTGTGGTTAGTAATTGTAGTACATGTTACATGGTAGGTTCTTAATATTAGTTAAAAATGCCATAATGTAAAGATATTGTAGTGCTGTCAATAGAATATACTATTGAGTTGTTTTGTGTTGAACTGGATAGGCATGTTGCAGTTTGTGTTTCTAGACCACTTAATTATTAGAATCTGACATTTATTGATACTGTAATGGAAGCTATTTTGAGGCAGGTTTGTTGTACTCACAAATCAATATTTGCATGTGGAGAAAATAATTTTCTTTCCTTCTTTTTAAAAAAAATGTTGCCCCACATTAGGATTTGAAAAGAAAAAATTTAAGTGGCATAGTTTTTTATTTGGTTAATTTAATTTCAACACCTGAAACAGACTTATATATACAGCCATGCCACATCCACTTGTATTGTTAATTTTTAAAAGATTAATAAAGGAGTGTCCTTTCCGTTCTTCTCCATTTGAATGTACACTTTGGAATGAGGTCGTTGCTTGACTGACGTGATTATAATATTTGGTTGCAGGCGGCACGGTGCCGGGCATACTGCCGCGCGCGTGCGAGGCGGGGGGCGCGGGCGGGGGCGCGGCGGGCGGCGGCGGGGGCGCGGGGGCGCGGCGGGCGCAGAACCGCAGCTCGCTGGCCGAGCTGTTCCTGCAGCTGCTGCAGTACTACGCGGAGTTCCCGTACGAGCGCATGGCCGTGTCGGTCCGCGCGGGGGCGCGCCTGCCCGTGGCGGCGTGCCGCGCGGCGCGGGCGCACAAGAACGACCCGCACCAGTGGAAGCTGGTCTGCGTGGAGGAGCCCTTCGACCTCACCAACACGGCGCGCTCGGTCTACGACCGCGACTCCTTCGACAAGATCGTGTCGGCCTTCCGGTCGTCGGCGGCGCGCCTGGCGGCCGGCCTGCGCCTGGCCGACGCCTGGCCGCAGCGATGATGCCGGCCCGGGCCCGCCCGACCGCACTCCGCTATATGTATGCTACTACAGACTATCGATGTGCCACTATGAAAATTATATGTTTACATTCCATAGTGCCATGTATTTATTAGTTAGTTTTGCTTCGTTTTGAGGTGCCATTTTTATTGGAGCGACCGTCCTATTGCTTCCCTCCGGAGTCGCCGGCCCGGCCGACCCTGGCGGCGGACTAGTACCGGCGACGCGCATGCACTACTTGCACTACTCAACCAAAGTAAGAAAATGTACAAAGGCCAGCATGCAGCTTTTGTCGTTTTCATTTGCCTATCTATAGATCTCAATTACTTGAATGTTCCATTTTATTGTTATGGTGTATACCAGTAGTTTGTAATAATAATCGTAGTGTTATTATTTATTTAGACTTTATGTAATAGAACACAAAGTAAACTCAGTGCTCAATTCGGACCAAAGTTAAGTGAAAATATGATTATTATTATTACTTCACGCTTCATTAATGATTAAGTTGTTACAATAAAAATTATACCTCAAAACTTATGTTTGGATAAACGACATGCAACCGACACACTCATACACTCCACCCGCGGGTCATTGTATCGGACAAACATCAGCCTCCGTGGTTGTATGGGCGGAGTGTATGTGTGTATGTATGTATGTAAGAAATCGTCAGTTCGCGCCGCCCGGCCGGGGCGCGGCCAGAAGACTGAGACAAGGCTCGCGGTCGCAGCAGAGTCGAGTTGGTTCACTAGTCGAAGTAGTCAGTTTGTGTGACCCGTGACCGTCGCAATACAAATAGTCACGCGGCCTCCACGAGGCGTCCTATTCGTTTTTAAAATGTTTATTATTGTTTATTTGTAAGTTATTTAATACGTGTAAATAGTAAGAAATAAAAAAATACATAAATATTCATTTTAGGGTCGTGTATGGTTTTTATGTAAATAGTATTTTTGTGATGAGGAAAGGGTAAATGACAAAAAAATATATTATATAGAATCATATATTATATGATGCATGCTTTGCGTGGAGGGAGCCAGGACCCGCTCACGACAAGTCATATATGTGGGAGAGCGTACGATGGGACACGAGAAATTCCCTGTGATACTATGTGAAAGAAATTATATTGTGTACGTGTACAGTGTTTGATATTGAAGTAATCGTTCAAAGGTGCTACAATTAGATATACGCTCCGAACGCAATGGTTGCTTGAGACGCGACCCCGCGCGTAGGTTACAGGTGAATGCGTAAAACTTAAATAATGGTGCTAAATGATTGTGTTGCCTTATATTTGGCGCTGAGCTACGCTTAATATACATTGTAACGTTACAGATGCTAGAGTAGTATAAGATTATTGAAGGCTTCCGTACAACGACATGTACAAGTTTTGTAAAATGTATTTACACGTTTCTTGTAATATCAATCTGCAACATCTTCCGACTGGAACTGATCGAACTAACGTCCTACGAATATACAGTCTCGTAAAATTCATACACGCCTTCTATAATCTTTCCTCGCTAGATATTACTATCAAATAATTTACTTGTTAACGGCATATTAATTTATCAGTTTTCTCAAATTGAGAAAAAACATAAATTAATATGTTTGCTATAAATGTATTTAAAACTATCGAGCATTTGTATGACGACAAGAGCGCGTCAAAATTGAGTTTACTATTACTATTGCCATTTTTCGCGAGTGAAATGAGTATACATGAGTAAAATAATATTTTGATGCGTTCTTGTAGCACTATGCCCTGTGTGATTCGCAGAATTCCTATAATTATATGTGAGGATACTAACGATGCATATCTTTAAAGTAATACAAAGAGTGTATAAAATATTACTTACTCAGATTAGGAATTCTGTACCTTATGAACTACTACGTCGTATCTGCATTCATCATCATGAAATGACAATATGAACTGTCAACTTTATAAAGGGCCACAATTTTATAGCTTTTTACGCATGAACTCGAATCAAAATTCTGATGTTTATTTAATATTCATAGTTTTCTAAATTTGAATAATAATTAAGTGTTTATTATTATTTAATTCATGTTAGGTCGGCATCTACCGATATGTTTGCATCGATGCCTCGCAATTGTTAAGTTTACAATAACTAGCCACTAGCGGTATATGTAGACTAGAAATTGTTAAGTTTTGTTTTGTAATGTTAGTTATGAAGTTCACCATCTGAACGTTGTCCCTCATAGCCCGAAAGCACTGACACTACTTGATGTAATACGCCTGGCATTTTATATCGCGTTATGTATAAGTTTTTTAAAGATTTTACATAAGAGGCACTTGGCCGCGCTGAATAATTAAAGTACAATAAATAATTTTTAAAAACAAGTTATGTGTAAGAAAACTGATTTAGAGTTATAAAGAAAAGTGTCTCTCAAAACTGTTAATTTTTTGAAAAGATATAAAAATTCGACACTCGATTGAAAGAACAAAAAAAACTATAAAATGAAACCTCCAAAAAAATTAAACTACAAAAATAACAAAAAAATATAAAAAAACTAAAAAAAAAACTAAAAAAAAAAAATATAAAAAAGTGTAAAATTCTGAGAAAAATTATTTTGACAATCCAAATTTTTATCGCATGTTTTGTTGGCTTACCACCTGCCTTCTTATGAACTGTTGTTTAAACAGGTTGTGTAAATCAATGTTTATGTATAATAATTGTGTTTTATTCAAATATAAAAAAATACAAAAAAAATCATGTCTGGGTTCGGTTTGCAAGGCTAACTGAAAGCAATATTTTATTCATCGTTAATATGGACATTGGGCGAGATCACAAAACTGCGTTGCGTCGACAACGCAAAAATCTAGGAAGACGTGTACTTGTTTGTATTGCGGTGCATCGTAGATTTTAGCGTCGCGTTGACACTACGATGTGTTGTGGCCTCACCTATGAATGTAATATAAAATATTTGTATATCTGTACACCAACAGGAGCTCACGTCTTTACGCCAAGTTTCCTTTAAAAGCCAGACTTCTCTTGTGGTGTGTATGTAAAGAAATGGAAGAAGAATAAATTTTCTACCTTTTAACTTCGATCTTAGGACCGAAGTTGTTATATGAAGAACTCAAGACAAGTGACATCGAACTGGCTCAATAAAACTAGCTCCTAAATAACACTGCAACCATTATATTTATAACGCACACACAATAACAAAGGTTGCATTGCAGTAACAGATATAAAAACAAAGGAGCTTACTTGTTTACGTAACATAATTATGGTGCGTTGTAATAAAAGATTCCACTTTGTAAATGAAATAATTGTGCCGGCGTGGACACTATCTGGTCCAGCCATGCCATTAGGCAATGTTATACTTACGGGCTATATCTGGACTTTAGTAACCATCACTGCCAATGTTGACGTCCTAATTTCTAATAGCTAGTCTCAATGTCGTATCTGTTGATATTTCCGACTATCAGGAATACAATTTTGACACATTTTGTTAAGAACGTAATATCCTTATAGAATGCGTTTAAAGATCAAAATGATATATATATAAATTCACACAATCTTCTCACGGATAGGTTATTGAGGCTGGCCGTAAGATTATAAGTTTCGTGTACGTACAAATAAATCGTTCAGATATACCTACCTAATATATTTTGATCTCTCCTTGGCAGTATTTTATAAGACCACATTTTTTGCTTTGCCTATCAATATAAAATCTGTTACCTATTTAGTTGCGTACTTAATTTTTTCATATGGTTATTAATAATTGTGGTTCAAATGAATAAAATGCAAATTGTTCGTCCTGAATAAACAATAACTTTTTTATATGAGCCTAACTTAATTGTTGGTATAATTATAAAGAAATAAATATGTATCGACATCATAATGTATTGTATACTATTGTAATTATCTGTATAGTGTGACCATGTACCTAATATATTTTTGCCTCTTTTTTTGTAAAGATATATATATATTTTGTCACGTTTTTGACAAGTTTAATCTTGTGTTGCATTTTATTTTATTGAACACAAGCAGATTTTTATCTCCATATTGTACAAAGAAATTATTGTAAAGAAATATTCTGTAATAGTTAAATATATACAACTGCCAAAACATTTTGTTTTATTTATAGGCCATCTTAACAACCCTAAATACCTCACACGTAGGTTCATGAGCGCTAGAAAAGTAGCCTACCTACCTAGTTTTTTTTTTCGAGTATAGGTACATATTCCAACATTCGGCCATGGCTGTGTGCGACGTTGGTCTATGGAAGTTGACTGGAAAATTACTACATAATTGGGTATAGTTTCCTAGGTCAAAAATAAATAAATTCGACGTTTCAATACAATAAAATATTTAACACGTTGCCTGTCCAGAGTACTTTGGGTATGGTTGTCGTGACGTCCAATTCTGTTTTTCGGCGAAACTGTTTTATTTTATGTACTTACAAAGAATTTACAAATGATTATCAATAAAACTTGCCAATTTACTGAATTTCAGCATTGAATTATTTTTAATGCACGGACGTGACAGCTAGAGTACCGTGCATTACAAATAATGCACAGACGTAGTAGCAAGAACATTGTGGATTATCCATAGTCAAAATTGAAGAGTCCGGATGGTCATCAAATCATTATAAAGAAATGACTTAAGGTTGAAACCACGGAGTAAAAACAAAGCTTTGTTTTTACTCCGTGGTTGAAACTGAGAAATGTTCAAGTTCCAGTTCTGCGAGTTCTTTGCGTCCTACAAGTCACAAACTAACGAAAATACCCAAGAAACCCAGTAGAAAAATTTGGCAAAAACGTTGTGCCAGTCGCTACAAAAAGCTGAAAGAATCGGGATTCACAGCTACTGATGCAAGGAAGAAGACTTTACAAGTTACAACTGAGTGCATTCCATGTAAAAAATCATTTTGCTTACAATGTTATAACGAATGTCACTAATTGCCAGTGGACTTTATTCAAATAAAATGCTTTTCAATAAACCAGTTCATGCTACCAAACAATAAAAAAAATTGGCGGGACATTGGTATTTTAGGATTCCCAATTCACTGCTCATACGTCTGCGAAATATTATAAACGTAGCTCTCACGTCCAGTCTACAAAACCCCATTCAAAAAGAATAGGCTCGTGCATTATTGATAAAGCACGGGCGTCACAGCAGCAGCCAAAAATGCATTATATAATACACGGACAGGCAACGTGTAAAAAATAACTATACTTTTATTCATCGATCGATCGATACACTAAGTTTTAAATATTTTGTAGCTAATTGTTAAGAAATAAGTAAGCTATTTGACGCAAAAATACTATGACGTCATACCTCAGTTTTTCATACAAATTTCATAGAAAAGTATCGTTTTTGACATTTTAATAAAAGTATTGAATTTGACTATATAGTTGGAAACTACCGTATTGGCGCGGCTCAAGAGAGATTAGCAAATGAGGTAGTGAAGTAGGTCCTCCCTCGTCTGTTGACTTACCAAACTTCTAAACTCAAGTTCACTAAGTACCTACACTTAATTTAGACTCAAAGATATGCTTGGGCTGAATTCCTTCTCCTGGTCTGGGTGACTGAACATCAGCCCTATAGGGACCCGTCTGTGGTGGTCTATTGGCTGCGCGCGGAATAATAATGCGTAGTACGCTCGGGTCTGGTTCTGGTCGGGCGGCGAGCTACCCTTACTCGCCGTCTGCAGACCCGCGCTTACGGACGGGCCGGAGATCATCTCTCGATCCCCGACGCTCGGCATGTCGGCGGCTGGGGCGCGAGGAGGATAGTTCCCTCACGCGCTCCGCCTCCTCCTTTGCGAATAGCACGCAACCTAAGTACTCCATCGTTTACAAACAGACAGAACGGAGTCAGAGTATTCACTGCCAAACATGACCCTTATGTTTCTGTCTAACTGGATAATCAAACGTAAAAAATCAGTCGAGTGGAGACAATATCAATAAATGCAGTCGTGCCTTCAGCTTCGCGCCGTACCGTCATTCGTATGCGGGTATAGGTATCTAGGTTCAAGAGCTGAAATTCAGTTCTTTAGAAGGTTTTTTAAAGTAAGGTAAATCGTGCATCTACACTCCTTAAACGGCCGGCACGCGCTTGCCGGCCGTTTAAGGAGTGTAGATACGCTCGCCATCGCCGCCGAAAGATCATTCCAGTTTTGCCGTTTGGGAGGAAGTTTCGCGTAAATCGCACAGTTGGCTGCCAATCGTAATGCGATGGGGATGAAAACTTTTTCGCGTGGGACAATGGCGGATGCGGGCGGATTAAACCGAACAATTCCTCAGAACACTCCCCGTGATATAATAGTAAGGTTCCTACATAGGCTACATCCCTACGCAGTGTTAAAGAGTCCAGCCGGTCCGAGAGGCAGTCAATGATTCAAACAGCTCGTCGCAGAGAAAAAAGCTGGTACTGGGGTGCACCCGCCTAAATATGAGCACAATATTCCATTGGTGCCGAACTGGCGCCTTATACAGTAGCAGAATCCGAAGTCACGCAGAACTGGACTTCGCTCGATATTTCTTCTTCTGTCGATCAATATATATTAAGTGTTTGCCAGAAAAGAGCCATGCAGAAGCATGACTCTCAACATGAATAATGAATGGGTCGTCTCGACCGGAGATTGATACCTAGTGATGCTTCACAGAATACCGGCGTGATACAACCATATTGTTGTGTGTGTGAGGTTACCGGTGGCCAAATCCTTCCCCTCGCCCAATCCCAAAATCTCCAAATCCCTTATCCCCAAAACGTCGGCTACACACTCGTAACTCCTCCGTTGTTGCGGCTCGTCGCTGAATGCGGTCCATGGGCGGCGCTAATTGCTTACCATCAGGTAATTACTCTGATTGTTTGCCGTCCAACCACATAAAAAATATATAAAACCAGTTTGTGGTGTATTACAAAAAACTAATTCCTTATTATATGACACTTGATAAAAACTATTATAAGGGGACACATTTTGTCATCATAAAAGTTCGATTAATATCTACTAATGAAGTTAGTTAAGAATTAAGATAGGTAGGTACGATAGTCGGCATTTGTACTTATTTGCGTAGATTCAGAAACAGAGGATATACGAGGAGACTTTAGACTTAAAGTCAGTGACTGGGCTGGGAATAATTCGACTGACGCTCGCGATGCGCCGCTGGATTCGCTCGTGCAAGTACGATGCGCGGTCGAACATGGTCGAGCGTTTTTGAACGTGTATTTAATTATTTTTTTTAGGTCCACCATCAATTATTAGACACTTAAGAGTAATAATTGACTGAGACTGTCCAGAAGGAGTGAATTCGCAGCGATTATCTCGTGTGTCCATAGATGAATTCGCTCGTTTCGCCTAGAAAGAGCACACCTATGCTGGCGTAACCAAGTGATTTCATTCATACCGCAAATCTCATATCGCCGGCCATTTTCCGATTTCGTCTTTAACAATTCCGTAGTAGAACGGGGAGAATAGATACACAAAAGGGGTGAATAGATATTGGCGAATTTTCCAAGTCTATTCACCCCGTTTTATTGTATCAACGTTTCAGTTGGCGCTCCATTTCCCTGAATACGCGCACTCGCTCAAGAGTTCGTGCGTTAATTGTGCGCAACAATCATTCCCTAGTATCAACTCGCTCTAGAGTGGCGTAGTGCACGCGATTAACGTTCATTTTTCGTGTATTATGAATTCGCTATGATTTATATAGTTTTATAAATCACTTATAGGTAGGCGAACATATGCAATGTGCATAATAATTTTAAAATTTAGTTGGGTTACCATAAAATAATTAAATACTCAAATCGTTGACTGCAAGATCTTCTTTCAATCTTATATATAAAAATGGATCGCAAAATGTGTTGGTAAGCGCATAACTCAAAAACGCCTGGACCGATTTTGCTAATTCTTTTTTTCTTGTGTTTGTTATTGTCAGGAGAAGGTTCTTATCAAAGAAAATATTAGAAAAGTAGAGGGAAAGATTATGAAAAAGTGACCCTTTGATAGCGAGATAGTTGGACCCGGGCGAAGCGGGGGCGGGCCGCTAGTAATCTAATAAAATCCTCTGTTCTGTTCTTGTTTGTAGGGCCTAAGCGGAGCTGTGTAGCTATACGCTTCAACGACGTTAAATGAAACTAAAATTAACTTTCGTCATTATCTTTATTGACATTTAATCTCCCAAAGTAGTTTAAAAAAACATTTTCACAGAATCTAGTCCAAAATGGATTATTTGTTAAATCTATCTAACTTTTAAAGGGTCACAACATTTAACCCTATTTTTATAAATAAGTAATAATATATTAGGTTCATCACACCGAATTTTAATTTTTATACGATGGTGTGACGAGTTTTAGACATCAATTGAATAATACAAAATGTTCGTGCCTAGCAAAAAACATTGATTCGTGTAACATTACTATAAAGAAACATTAACCTGAAATGTAAGGTTTTGTAAATGTAGACTACACACAAATAAGGCGTCAATTATTGCAATTTCAATAACGTTTACAAAATGTAAAAATCACATGTGACGACTGCATCCTTCAGATGTCAGATGCATGAGCTTACAATACAACTGTTCTTATTGCCTACACCAGAAGTATTTTTTTCCTACATGACATTCTAGTAAAACAAAGTACCTATTGGTACTAGATAACACTACTACTGCCACATTACTCAACATTATTTTCGATTCTGAAGACAGGACTTAAAGCAAAATTTATGCCAAACTTTGGATTCAATGCTATGTATACTTTTACATATCGCGTTCATTCAAAACAGCGTTTTCAAATACATACACGAAAAATATACACCTTACGAAACTAATAAAAAATAGGTTAATCATATAATAAAAAGAAACTGCATCTTTGCAGAAGAACATACCTGTTTCTGGAGTGGCCAGACAGGTAAGGAACTAAATATGAATAACGTCAAATACTGAAACCCTACACTCTCCAGACTACCTGCGGACTAGCGGTCAACTTTGTCGCCACAATATGAAATCTTTATACATATCCATAAAATGTTATCAATTATATTAATCCCAGAGAATCGCTAGTCCGAAGATGATCCATTATTCTATAAATCCAATCATTTACATGACAATTCCTTCACAGCGATCAGTATATCGTCAATCCGACTATCCCTGTCTCTTCGCATACCCTAACACTACCTACATCATTAGAATAATCTAAACCTAACTAATATTTAACACTACTGTAAACCGCGGCATTTTATTTGTGTACTAAAATATTTTGGACAGATCATGACCACGTGTTGGTGACCAAAAATAAATTTCGTGTAACCCATACACATAATACAAAATATCAGATAGATTTTGTGTTTAACTAATGTACAATTAATGGATATCGATCCTCCTGGTGGAGTCCCGCAGAGCGAGAAAGCGCAGCCCCCGAGCAGTGGCGGCGTCAACTGGCGGGCTCCAGTGCACTCATCCGTTACTTCTTGGCGGGATTCTCCGATGCATCCATCTTCTCTTCTGTTTTGACGACCTTACCTTCACCTGAAAGTAGAAATATTTTATAAATATAAAATTGCTGTATGTTTTACCAGTACATTGTTTAAGATTACTGGAATCAGAGTGCCATGTCGTCAGCAAGCAATCGAATTTCGAAGAACGTTGCGGGGTATTGAATAACTCAATGCCGTCACTAGCTCAACGGACCTCGGTTGCTTTACGACTCGTCATCAAGTCTCATCATGTCCAACTACCTATACAAAAGTGGATTTGTATTAAAAAAGTCGTGGTGGCTCGGAGGTTAAGAAGCCCGCTTCTCATTCATGAGGGTATGGGTTCGAAACCTGGGAAGTACCAATGTGACTTTTACCGAGTTATATGTACTTTCTATGATTATTTGGACACGACTGACATACGGTGAAGGTTAACATCGTGAGGAAACCTGGACTTCAATTACATGAATTTCTAATTATAAGTTTAAAATCGCCAACCCGCATTGAGCAAGCGTGGTGATTAATGCTCAAACCTTCTCCGTGTGAGAAGAGGCCTTTGCTTAGCAGTGTGCACTTATGGGCTGATGATGATGGATTCGTATTTCAACAGGGTAGTGGTCGGATTTACGATCCAAATTGGCCATCGGCCAATAAAAATGATACAAGATGAATAGACATAAAATTTTTTTTAATAAATATCTGTGTAAATAATAAAACTTAATGAGGATGTCTGCGTAATTACCATTAGGCGTGTCAGGTTCAGTGTCAGTGTTGGAGCGCCTACGCTTGCGCGGGAATTTCCAGGCTCCCGTCGCGTGCTTCAGCTTAGGCAGTGGCTCCATGTCTAGCACCTGAAAACATTTTGCGTTGAAAGGTATCACATCTTATATTTTCATGAAATTGAGAGAAGCGCAAAATAAAGATTTTACCTTATGTATTTGCCTGAAGGCAATTTGTCTAAGGAATTGTTGGGCCGAAGCAGTCAGATCCTCGCGTTTCTGCGGTGGCAAGTTACCCAAAGCATCCTGAAATGTAAAATACTGCAGTCAGTATTTGAGACAGAGATAAAGAGCCAGGCAGCGTAGGTAGTCGTGAGTACGTACGTTGAGTTCCTTCTCGCAGGGGTCCCGCAGGCCGGGCCCGTGGTCCAGTAGCAGGCCGCCGGCCACGGCCTCCATGACGCGGCGCAGCGCCTCGCCCGGCGACAGCGCCGCGCCCGCAGACTGCATCACGCCCGTCACCAACAACTCCATCGCCTGCCGACCACGCGCTTAGTACATTCTTGCGCTACGTCTTTGCAAAATGATTTATCCCAGAGTTACTTACGTAGGGGTTGAGGGGAGTCCAGTTGGGAATGCGGCGGCAGAGGTCGCGCATGACGCGGATGATGATGACGCAGGACTGCAGCGTGGCGGCCCTGGCCTGCACATAGGGAACCGTCACGAACGCTCGAGGGAGCCACTAAAAGCGACTAACCAAGAAACTGCGTTTCCACTTCACATGACTTCTCTCATTTATGGCTACAGAGTGCCAGGAAACGCAGTTTGGGCACATAACAAGCTGTAGCCACATGTTCATGGGAGTTCAGGTTGAATCTACTTTGAACAAAACTTTCACTACTTAATGTTATATGATTAAAGTTAATAAACATGTGACTAAAAATACGTGCGCACTCCCGCATTAAACAAACAAAATATAAAGCTCGACTCAACAGTGACTCGGGATTAAGAAACAGACAGTCGGAGTCTTCGTTAGCTTCCAGAGGGCAAGTAGTAGTGAGTAAGTGAGTGGAGTGCGCACATGTATAAGTTAGGCGATGTACCTGGAACCACTTGGCGTGCCGAAGGGCGGCCAACGCGTCCAAACACTTCTGCCGCGGTAGCACATCCTTGTCGTCTCGCTTTATGTCGCCACCGTCTAGCGACAACAACACAAAGGGTGTTTGACCATCAACACATCGACGAAACCGGGGCAAACATCAGCACAAGGGACCTGACCCTGCACCCGACCCCGAGCGACCCGAGAGACCCGACCCCGCGCTACCCCGCCGCATGCAGGCCTCGGCCGGCGCAGCGCGGGCTCTAGTGCTCACTATACTAAGCGGGACTTACAACATTAGTCAACATTGTTATATTATTATGGAGTATCTATGCAAGGTTCGTGTCACATTATTTTATCTATTATGAAAAGCTTTCAAATGCAATTAATAATTCCTACATCGGATATGATAAAGAATCGTAAATAAAGAAAATAATAAATATATAGTGATAGATATAAAAGAAATGTTTGCTCCGTTTCAGTGAGTGATATACCAGTGCGGAGTCGACGCACGTGATATATCGAAATAGATGATCAAAAATCCTTTTCTTCTCGCCGCATCTTACCTACTCACACCTAAAAATAAGCATTCAACACAGTGCCCGGCACGATTAGCGCCGGGCGTAAACTTTGAACAAATTATCTTTTTTCGTCTTACTTCAGAGATGTACACAATAATACTTAGTAAAATACACATACAAGAATATAAAATATGTGATATACCGTGATCTAGATAGTTTGTTCTGAGCTGGTCCTCCGATCGATGGAGTTAAAATGGACGATTTCGACAACCAATTCCACCCGTCCGTCTATCGTCAGCGCGCTAAGTTTTGTCTAAAACACTTAAAAGCCAGGAGCGATCAGAAGTGAGAGTAGAGAGGTGTGTGTGTGAAATTGGCGGCGTCGAAGATCGTAGCGTCCGGGCGGCACTGACCTGCGGGCTCGCGCATCACGGCCGACGTCAGGCTCACCAGCACCCACACCGCCCCGTCCGACACCGACACCGCGCCCTCCGCCGCCTGCAGCTCCACCTTGTAGCGCGGCTCCTCCGCCCCGCCCTGCATGCAATCATTTCTTAACAAGTCTGTACGTTGTCTAATTGTCTGTGTACGGAACGTCTTCAATCAATTAGTCTTTTCAAAAACCGTCAACCGACATCTTGTATTACATTTTATGTAAGCACACATTTCTTGTCTGCCCATAATAAGCTGAGTATTTATGAGTGAGAATGGTTTTTTTATTTGAAACCCGTATGTTTCAAATAAAAAAAAAACCATTCCTGGGGAAAAAATAATTAAATATTTATAAGATTATCCACACCAGTCATAAGACGTCATATACTTGTGTCGCGAACAAACATGACCAACTACTACCTGGTTTCTCATAATCGACTTATTTGGGAAAATGATTCTCCTAGCTTTGGACATCTCACTCTTTTTTCTAAGAAAATAAATATACAGTTGCTTAAAAAGTGGCGTATTGCAGGGGCGTGTAACGTTCGGGATCTGGGCTATTTCACACTCGTGCTTTTTTTGCCTTTCCCGCATTCGTGCGTTTTCTTTCCCAACTGTCAAAATAATTTCTATTAAAAAAAAAGAAACATGAAGTATTAACTAAAAAAAAAATCATAGAAGTTTTTGCGATTCATGCAAATAGGTTTATTTGTTTGTAAAAAGAAGCTACCTATACTAATTTGTCCAATATCAGAATTAATTATTTGATTGAATGAGTTAGGCATGGTTTCAGTTCATTTCATATCACTAATTTCAATTTCATTTCTGATAATAAAAAATACTTGGTACTAAAGACTTGGCTGTATGGGCAGTTCCCTTTGCCTACCAGAATGGGTGAAAAAAACTGCTTACATTCTACGGTTGGCGCCATTTTCCGAAATTTTCTTTTCGCGAGTTTAGTTGTTTTTTTTACACAAAATGAGTGATTTCGATTAAATTGCTTAATTTTTTCGCAACTGTATTAAAAATAGTCGTTCAGTACACGTACGGAACCGTCATTGCAACTCGTTCCGACTGTCAACCCTCGCCTTCGGCTCGGATAGATATTTATCGGAACTCTTTGCAATGACAGCCATTCCGCACTGGTAATGAAATATACTATTTTTTCTAAAAGATTGACAGTACATGAGTCTTCATTATACCTGTGGTTGCAGTACAACATGCCTTATTTATGATTGTATGAAATATCGGCCGTCATGAGGTAGGAGTATTGATCTTATGCAAGTTAAAATTGATGCGTCGACATACTGTCGTATAACTTTTAGATATCTAGACGCCTGTGGCCGCTACCAAGGTGTTAAAGAGAAAACGAGACGTGTTTTGAAAATTTTTCGAAATGTATGGCCATAGACTATAACATAATGTTTCTTTTTTGGGCTTTTCGAGAATAGCATTTTAGCGCAAGTGAAGTCAAACTTCATTACTCACTTGTGAATAATAGTATTAAAAAGTGAGTTTGATTAGAGGCACTTAATGAGGGTCGTCAAGCGTCGTGATGCGATACGTACCTTGACCTTGGCGAGATGGTGCGGCAGGTCGGTGGCGACCCGCTTGAGCAGCGTGACGGTGGGCCTGTCTGCGCAGAGCACGACGAGGCGCACGCGGCGGTCCCCGCGCAGCACGAGCCCCTTGGCCAGCAGCCCCACGCGCATGACGCCCTTCAGCGCGCGCGGCGCCGCCCCGCCCGCCGCGCCCGCCTCGCCCTCGCACGCGAACGAGAACCTGCACCAACACCTTCTTCTACACTATGCTCGACACTCATAATGCATAACAAACCAGAAACCGTCGACGCACTTCATACTGAAACGACTAATGCCCGGTTCCTATATTTAACGAATCGTCGTTGTATACGCATTACGACCAAATGACATTACGAATAGTTATCTAGACACCATAGATCTCCATACAATTCGCTTATAGGAACGGTTTTAGCTTACGAGTCGTATAAAAAACTACTATTCGTAATTAAAACGGATCGTTTCTCAATTATAGGAACCGGGCGTAAAACCACTCTTAACTAGAGTAGTATGAATTTCTACGATTGTATACTTTTTGCACCTGACATATCGTGACATATTGTGACACACGGCTGAAATTATGACGAAAGCGAATGAGATTACATTTCATCTGTTAGTATTGTCTGCAATAGTATATAATTAATTATTGAATTTGTTTTACCCATTTACTTCTCAATGAAAATGACGGATGTATTTTGAGAATGTTATCATTTTTGGGTAAAATTTTACCCACTTATTTGTTGTGTAATTGTGTATGTATATAGTGTGTTGCATTTATCGTAATTTTACTTAAATACTTTTTGCCAAACATCTTTTTTCTCCTGTTATAAAATTACCCTTCAACCAAGGCAATTGTTCCATTTCGACAACACTACACGGGCGGGAAGTGCGGCTGGCGGGGAATGATTGTTTTTAGATACATTACACAACATGAAATTATGAGTAAACACGGATCCTGGTCAGTTCTGTATTCTAAGGCTATACACATCGACGAGTCAAAGTTTGGAATAATCAACTTACAACTGATTGTCCCGGCCGTCCTCTTTTCCTTCTGGTTTTTCAATCTTTTGATCTTCAGGTTTAGTCGCCTTGCCGACGACCTGCGCACAAATTATATTCATTTATCGAACGGAACGAAAGCACGAGAATGTTTAGTTATTCGTATATCGTGAAGATTGTGTTACCTTTGGCTTGGCCTGCTCGGCGAGCGCGTCGGAGAGTGACTTGAGCGCCTTCTCAGTGTGTGAGACGGCGCGCTGTATCTCCTGCAGCTGGGAGTCGGGCGGGTAGATCTCCGCGTGCTTGCCCAGCACGTGCCGGTCGTCCGACGTCTCGGGCCGGCGTCCCACGCCGCCGTACGGCATGCCCATCGTCTGCCCAACGACAACTCTGTACTCTCTGCCCACACGGGCCACACGCATACATAGTCCACATCCAATACCGCATACTTACATGATGGTGATGGTGCATAGGCGGCGGTACTGGCCCGCGGCCCCACCACGGCTCCATACCACCCTCCCAATACATACGGTCATCTTCCTCCATGCCCTGTAAATCGAAAATCAATAGTAATCAGCACAGTAATAAAATTTAAATTACGAAATGGATCTTTGGTAAAATACGTCAGATAACAAACAAAAATGCTGTCTCCAGTACAAGTGAAACTAAATGAAGTTGGCGTGGCAAGTGTACATACATCGTGCATCCTGCGACGGGCCCACATCTCGTCGCGCACCATCATGCGCTGCGCCTTGGCCTCGGCCAGCTTGCGCTGGTGCATGGACGGCTTCACCTTCACCTCCAGGTCGGGTTGTACCTGCGCGACAATATCTAATTGTAACTTTACTCCACGGCAACTTTGCACCCTTCAGTATATGTGGTAGGTTCTCATTCGCAGTTTTAATCATACGACGCGCGGATCTCTTGGCAATCGAATACGATCGGCCAGGCTCACGCGCATCTCAAACCTTTTACTAAGTAATCACTGAACTTGATAATGTCTAGCACGTGGTGTTCGATATGTAAAGTAGTGTTTACCTTCTTCTTGTACTGCAGCCTGTGACGACGGCCCTTCATGTGCATCTCCTTGGCGTTGGGGTCGTTGAACTTGCAGTCGCAGAGCTTGCAGTTGAAGCTGAGCGCCTTGCCGTCGTCGCCGCGTATCTCCTCGATGTAGTCCTGCCCCACGGGCTGTACCTCGGGCTCCGCGTCCGCGTCGTCGTCCTTGTCGTCTCCGTCCTTGTCTTTGTCTCCTTGGGCAGGTATTGGTTCTTTGGTTGTAGTACCCGCGACAGTACTGAGCCCGCCGGACGCTACGAACGCTATCTTCGGCGTCCCAGCCACGGTCTTTTTGGCTGATAGATTGGAAAAGTCAAATTTTCTCTTGTTACTTGCTATCCAAGTGTGCACTGTTTTGCAAGGGCATTTTGGGCCTTTTCTACATTTATTGTATTCCATCAAAATATGGTTTATAATAATTGTTTGAATAAATAACATTGAGGAATTGTACATTAAAAAAGGCCCATATTTCACACTCCACATATCTGTACTGGGTGCCAAAATTGAGAACGTTGAGAAAATTTGACTTTTGCAATACTATCTGCCAACTAAACGCGCGCTTTTATACAGATATGGCGTTGTGGCGATGCGAGTCAGCATGTATGCGGGCATCAGCAAATATGTTTTCCATACACTCTACTTGGAGAACATATCTGGTATGCAAATGACATTCACACAAGTGTCTACAGAGTAAATAGTTGACACCATTACATAAGGTAATCATGTTCAGCCAGGCAGCATTCCATCTACGTTTATGCAACATACATATATTTTTACATATAAAGTAATTATGTCAGCAAATTAAGGAAACTTATAATTGTTTTAATTTAATGACATTAGAGATTGTTTGAATTTATTTTAATTTTTTTCAGCTTTGAAAATCTATAGATTGCATAAAAATTAATCGATTTTACAGCAAATGAGTAAATGACATGCCTTTAAATATTTAGTATAGAGCAGTAGAGTAATAATAGAATGCGGCAGGTAGTCACCTTGCGAGAGCTTGGTGGGTTCGGTGGAGGGTATGGGCTTGCCGAGCATGGTGTGCAGCTTGACGACCTTCTGGTGCTTGATGCCGCGGACGTGCGCGGCGTAGGCGTCGGCGCCGGTGCAGGTGACGTCGCAGAGCTCGCAGCGCAGCGCGCCGCCCGCCGCGCGCCCCGCCGCCGCCGCCGCGCCCGCCGCCGCCAGCTTCACGGCCGCCTCCTTCTTCTTGTGCTTCTGTCCCTCCAGGTGCTCCTTGTATGTCTGCATACAGTACACGCAGCATTGTCAACTCACGATATTGGCGCGTAAAACGAAATCGTGGCCAAAACAGAACAAGACGGTGGGGTCGTCAATGAAACTGAATGAGACTAACCTGTGGTCCAGCGCAAGATATGCGACAGACATCGCAGTAGTGTAACTGCTGCGCCTTTGGCGGAGGTTTGGGACGCCGAGCCTGTCCTGCGCCGACACCTGTCTTGTTGTAGTTCTTCCACCCACTGCTTAGAACAAAAACTTCATTAGATACCAAACATCTTATTTGTTACTCTTTGATTATAGCTCCACTTTTACAATACACAGATGAATAAGTGTATCAACATTAAGTAAATATATGCCACTAGTATATCCAAGTTATGTGTGTTTACTTACGTTCCACCACCAGTTTTGTTTTGTTGTGCCACATACATAGTGGCTGCGTTGTAGAGAGCTGTGTCATACGCTGTGTTGCCTCTGTTGGTTGGCTCTGCGTAATGTTACAACAGTATGAGATGTTGAACTACCGCCAGCAATAACATTATAATCATTAACATCAAAATTAACAGTGTAACTACACTACTGCTAAAAAAATTTATTTTTAAGAAAAAAGATTTAATATATTTGCAAACATTAGATAAATATTCAATAATCTAAATTTCACTCATTTTTTATCTAAAAAAATATTAAGAGTAAATATATTTTAAAGTAAGCAACAGTGTGAAAGTAAGTACATTAATAGTGCAGGAAGTTAGTATATTGTGATCTATCAAAATAGAAATACAATTCCCAGCCATAAAAATTGCATATCGCCTTTGGAAAAGATTATCGTGGTAGTATTACAAAAGTTAATTTGACAAATTAATTTTCAGACTTTTTCTAAAATGAGATTGCGTGACTACTTTTATAGTGATTTAAAATCATGAGCAGCATAATGTATCTTGTCAGATTGTATTTTTTGGTAAGAGGCAACCTGAGAAGACAAATTTTGGTCGACATACAATGTTTAGTACCAGGTAATGTACATATTTTATGCAATTACTGTTGCCTACTTACAACAAATAGCAATCAATATAAGCCAATGCCTTCTAGCATGAACATTATCTATTTACCTACAAGCCAATTAATAATTAAAACCTGCGTTAATAGATCAACAAATTAAATATCAATTAAAGAGCTAGAGAATCACTTTTCACTAAAAGAAAAGATAATGAAAGTCATTACTAATTATCAAGTCACAACAAATAAAGTTTCTTGACAGCAACTAATTACTAATTGGCTTTAGGTAAAATAGATGAAGACAAGTTAAAGCCAAATTCAGTAGAAAAAAAAGTAACTAAGTTGAATTGAAATATTTTATATCTGATTAATTGAGGCAGTGTGTGATATTAATTTATATCAGTGAATGATGATGAAAATAGCTTTATAGTTTGTCTTTTTCTTACTTTAAGGCAGAGCTCAGTGATATTCAAATGGAATGGAGAAGCAAACATGCTCCCAAACTTAGCTTTGTTATGTAAATAATTGAAATAAAAATGACTAATGTGTTTCCGAGGAAATAATTTTACTTGTATGCAATTACATTCCATTTGTGCACTGTTCCGTGGGTTGAAATAAACAATAAAGTACAATACACAACAGCGAGAGATTGCGGTTTGCATGTTAAAGAGAAGGTGGAGTGTGAGTCCCCTTTTCCTATACATCTGGTAATGATCTATATAATGTAACGGGCGTGCAATAAAACCGCAGTCTCTCGGTGTCGCGTAGTACAAAGAGTACGGTACCTATGTTGACGTGTATATACTGACGTTTGGCGGGCTGCGCGGGCGTGGCGGTGTAGGCCTGCGTGGGGTAGGAGGTGGCGGCCGTGGTGGCGGTGTAGACGCCGCCGTAGGCCGCCTTGGCGCCGCCGCCCCCCGCGCGCGCCCCGCCCTGCGCGTACATGGAAGTACACTTCAACACACATTACACCATCCTTACACATGTGCCATTCAGCATTCACATTTGCTTCGACATGAAATTACACTCTCCATAAATATTCCGTAGTATCACATAGATGCCATAGATGAGTTGTCATACCAGTTGAAATATACTAATATTGTGAGCCTGTTTGAATGGAATGGAAATAATTGAAAAAAGTTTCTGATAGTAATAAAATTTCATAGAAAAAAAAAATTATCTGATAGGACAACACATAACATGATGGTAAAGGAAAAAACAAATTGTTATTTGTTATCATCCCAAGTAAATTGAGTGTGGACAGAAATAACAGAAAACTACATAAAGAAAAAGCATACATTAACAAAACTTTTGGTATATACCTATTTTTTAATCTCAGACCAGTACAATTATATTGGCCTAACCAAGTGTTACCTTTTAATTCAAAGAAAACCACTACATACATTTTCTAGAATTTTAGCATATTCTAAAATATTTACAGATACACTTTTGAGATAAATAGTACTCTTCCTTTGATATTTTTTTAGGTTTGAGAGAAACTGGCAAGTATCCAATATAAATAAAACTTTGAAGGTTGGGTTAATGTTCTGAGTAAATAGTTCAATGTATATAAATGAAAATATTTTGCTTAGAGAATAACTGAATTTTCTAGTATATTTAGATATTTTTATTTTGTATAGAAGTGATTGACTGTCACTCAGTAAAATCACATTACTATAACCATGACCCAATACTAATCCAAATAATCAACATTTTAGGTATTTTGAAACGAAAAGTCTATCAGTTTACAGCGGGGTTTATACAGAATTTCTAATGCTCTTGTAGGTTTCTATAACAGTTTGAAAAGACGTTTATCTATCGTGACTCACCTGGGCGTAAGTAGCTGGAGTGGAATATGCAGGCTTGGCGGCAGTGGCGTCGTAAGTGGGCTGGGGTTGAGGCGGGGCCGCGGCGGGGTAGGCCGCGGCGGCCTGCTGGTAGTAGGCGGACTTGCTGGCGTCGTACGCCGACGCCGCCGCCGCCGCCGCGTGAGCGTGCGCGTGAGCCGCTGCTGGTAAAATCACACCTGTTATAGCAGTACTGGGGTCATGAAGAGCATTATAAACTCATTCAAAGTAGCAACTCTTCAAAGTCGCTTAACTGATTATTATTGCCAGTTAATGATAAAATAATAGAAATAAATAGGTCATCTTATATAAAATGGTGCAAGTATATATAATGTATTATTTGCAGCCTGCTTGCAGAAATAACTATCATTTATGCCACTTGCTTTTTATCAATTTTCTTGAGTTTTATTTATAAGCTATATGTATAATAAAATTATTAATCTATACTTATAAAGAAGTAAAATTTGTAAGTGTGTTAGTTTGTATGTAGGGAAGTAATCTTTGGAACAGCTGATCGGATTGCCAAAATTATTTCACTGATAGATAGCTACAATGTAACTGAGTGCTATAAGCTATAAAACACGCTATGATTAAAGCAGCGAGTGAAACCGCGCGAGAGTAGCTAGTAGTATTATATAGTATCATAAGTAGAAGTTTTAGTGAGTTAGGGCCAACAGGCAAGGCATTTTTAATTTACAAACTGGGGACACAGATGGATTTAGTTTATCCCGATCAGTTTTATGACTGAGCAGTAGAGCCTGGCATTATTGCTTAGAGAAAGTGTATGCCAAGAAATCACAAAAGATTATTTAAATTGTTGTTGACTTGGCTGTGTTTGTGCTAAATGTGCATGCAAGCATCCAAGTAGAATGTATTTAACAGATTAAATGTCTAATAGTAAGATTGAAATCACCAATCCACCTTGAGCAAGCATGGTGATTAATGCTCAAACCTCCATGTGAGAAAAGGTCCTTGCTCAGCAGTGGGCACTTATAGGCTGATGATGATGATGAGTTTGTGAAAGAGGGTCTTGACTGAGTTTGATTTCTTTTTCATATTAATCTGATATGGTATGATGTGGGTGCGTTTGCTTTAATGTGCTCATTGGCACAACCAGTCATATGTCATACAGTAAAGCCCAATAACATTAATAATTGCTGTCAGATAATGTTGTAGTTTCAACACAGTTGTACACAGTATGCTTTAGAGGGTCTTTGCAGCATCTAAATTGGGGATGAAGTATGGCATTATTTTCATTAAGATGACGTCTTAACAAGGTCAAGAGGATTTTACGGAGATGGCAAGCAGCAGAGTGTAGGGTTGCATTAATTAAAAACATTTGTTATGTATACAAAGTATTTTCAGTAGTCTCTGTGTAAATAGTATAAATCCAGGGCATTGTTTATTGAGAGCTTACATAGCTCTTTTGCTATGTCTCAGCTGAAGATTGATTGCCAGCTTTACAGCTGAAGAGTGATTTAGTGAAGCTCACATTTGTGGATCTTTACAGTCACTCCTCCAGCCCTCATTTGGCCTCAGCTCTAACTGCATATGAAGAAAACTTTTGTGTTTTTATAACTCCGCCCCTTTGGATATTTGCTATTAATGAGACACAGTAAATTATTAAATGTGTCTGGCTTATATCTGTTTTCTCATTGATTCCTAGTTAATTTTGCTATAGACAAACTATAATAATATAGAAGATTCGAATATCATTACATTGACAATTATGCTGAGTATTATTGTTTCAAACAGTCTGAAATTAGTTTGGACAATGGTATTGTAGCTCATTTGAGGAAGTTAGACTTAATGCCTAGTTACAAATGTAGTATTTTAACAAAGCAAAGCAGATCATGTATTGTTTCAAATAACAGATATTTAGGTTCAAAGTATGTTCTTTTAAAATACAAGCACTAAAATGTGATACTGATAATGTGGCTTGAGTTGAAATGATACTTTTTATTCCTATTGAGCTTAGTCAGCCAACCAAAGAGAGGTACAGTTAAATGGCTAACCAGTGAATCACAAGCACAGGTCACTGACAGGAAGCAGTTTGTTAACAATAATAAACTAGCCACTTTTTATCACCAGCAAAAGCCAGCAATATATTGCTGAATAGCCCTTCTACAATAACTCAATTAGGAAAATCATGTCGTAGCGTAAGCGTAGTGTTATCGATTTTACGTAGGTATAGTCGTTATGGAGACATCTAAAGCGTATCTACTTTTCAAGTGTAAACAATATGTTTGACGATGTTTTTTATCTATTTCAAAGGTTTTACGTACCTTGCGTGGCCGCTGCCGCCTGATATGCAGTGTCGTAGCCTGTGGCGGCGGCGCGCTGGGTGCCGTAAGTAGCGGCAGTTGCAGCAGGAGCTACGGCATATCCAGTCTGTCCGCCATAGGCTGCACTAGCCGTTGCCGCTCTAAAATAATACCACGATCACTTTACACTTAAAAATCACATTTCACTCTGAAAATCCCACGATCAATACAATTTGGACGCCATTTTGATTAAGACAAACACGAGCACAAGGCACATTCATCACAAATCTTTCATAGTACATTCATTAGGTTTACTTCATTTTTTTTTACTAAATCACAATTTAACTTACCCGTATTGGGTTCCTCCATGGGTAAACCCAAAATAATTATTTGCTGCCATCATTTACCAATTATCCGCGTCGAAACAACAGACGCTTCAGAGTGGAAAAGACCGGCGTTTTGTTTGTCTTTGACAAATATGGCCGCAACCGCGATCAAATTAAACCGTCAGTGTTGCTAGAAAAAAAAAACTATATTTATCATTCCCCAGTTAAAAAAAATGTCAGTAAAATTTTATCTCGGAGGCTTTTATTTAAAAATAGTTAAACTGAGTTAAATCCATGCATTGTCGTATAACTCGTGCGTGCTTTTCTCAAATTATGCTTTCTTGATAGCACAATGAAAAGATTTAGTAATATTCATAGATTCCGACCAGAAATCCAAAAAGTAACGTTCAGCGTAACTGAATTTACAAATACAACGATGCGTTCAAAGTAAACAACGATAATTGCAAATACTTAATAAGTTACGTCTTTTTTTAAGCCTCTAAGCGTAAAGACGAATACTACCTACATATAAAATCATATTGCACCTAATTGATAACCATTACTCTATTAATCAAATTAGTTCAGTTATACATATATATGTAAGTGTGGGAGAGCTGTGCTTCGAATTAAATGGTCTCAACTGGAACAGTCGCACAGAAAACCAGCACGACACTATGCTTGTACTGTATGTCGATGTGTGAGTCAAGTTAACGTTGGCCCAATTCCATCCCCCTCTTATCCTCGATTCTTTATGATGCACTTGTTTATTACTCTTTGATGTTACAGCCTACAGGTGTCCAAGAGAGGGCTTGATTTTTTACTATCAGGTGGTACGACTGCCTATTTCATAGAAAAATCTTTTTAGATTATCAAATATAATAATTAATATACCTACTTACATCACCAGTGTCTTATGTACTCGTGGTCCACACCACACTACGACACACTTTCCGAAATGCTTAAGAATTACGCATTATTTTTTTATTAAATTAAATTATAAAAAATATTATAATTTAATAAAAAAATAAAATATTATATAATCAATATTTATAATTTAAAAATTATAAATATTAAATTAAATTATTTTATATTTGTTCACTACCTTTATTTACGAGAGCATAATAGCTATAATTTCTGTGCAAAATCGGGTACTTAGTAATAGTGCCTTGTTTGCTTAGTGGTCGTAAAGTTTTTCAAATATTTGTTAGTAGGTACAGGTTTGATGTTCTGTGCCTGGTACATAACAATAGGCCTAGGCTGTGATACATAAAATATCATTGTGTTTATTGTATGTATATGAATGTGGACCCCTGTCTTCCACTTAATAAATGATGTGTTTATATAATTATGTCATTATTTAAAATACCTAGGTAGTATTCTTAACTTTCTGAAGCAAATAGTAATACTGCAGAATTTGCTTCATTTCGGTGTATATGCTTCTTTGAAAATGCTTTTTGCAATAATTACAAATTGACATCAATGTGGTGCTGACTATTATCGACACACAAGTGATCTTAATTAGCACAATAAAACAACAATTTTGCATTCACTTGCATATACCATAATATTGTATTTAGTTTACCAGTTTATGTTACCATGTACAGTAGCTGAAATACATACCTATACAAGTTGTTAAATTATTTATACATACAATATAAATCACAAATACTTTAAAGACTTAAACAATAAAACTATTAAGACTTTTTAGAAGTTGAGTTTACACAGAAAATGCATTTTTTGATGTATAATATTATGGTTCCACTTATTATATAAAAGGAATTTGATATATTCTGCAAAGATTATTTATTCTGGATGTCTTTTTGCAGTCTTCTCTGTCTTGTTCTTTCTTGCTGAAATATTATGATCTTGTTGAGGGTAAAAAAATTGTGTATTTTCCTTTATCCCAGTAATAACTTAAATATTATTGTGAGTATGTTCAATATAATCAATGGAACTGAAAAGATAAAATTTGAATATTGAGTTATATTAATAAGTAGGATATTTATTCCAAAAAATAAATAAAACATTAGCTTACTTCTGGTGACTGTTCTAATAGATCTAACCAAGTTTAAAATTTGGAACTTCACTGTTGATTGGTCTTCAAATCCTTGGTTTGGATTGTTAGATCCCCATCCCACTAGAAACAAAAGTTGAAGATGTTATATACATTATTTAATAGGTAATTCAATGGAGCACTAGGTTAGGTTGCTTAGTCACTTACTTTTTTGCATAAATCTTTCTTCGTGTAATACACATACTGCATTCAAGCAAAGCAGGGATGCTTCAAATAAATTCCATAAGGTAAGCATGGTAAAATTTGGGATTTGATAAAATTATTTAAAAGAAAATCGTCGGTATTTGTTGTGACAGCTTTAGAACACACAACAAGATTCTTTTGACAATATTGACATTGACATTAAAACGACGAATAAGCATTTTTGACATCAGCGGCTGCATTCCGGTTCACGGCGCATATAACAGTTTTAAAAGCAAAGTTTGAACATATATCATTAACACCCGGTTTCCGGAAGGCTGATCAATGTTAAAATGAATTTAATCTCTTGTCAAGTCATCTGATTGGTTGACTGAATTATCAACAACCAATCATATCACTTGACAAGATATTTAACAGGAGATTAGTTAATTTTAGCATTGACAAGCCTTTCAGAAACCGGGTGTAGTACGAACAAATTACGTATACTTGATATAAAAAAACTTAAAATGTCGTTCCTACGTTGAGGTCAGACAGACAAAAATATTATAAAATATGAATCTGTGAATCATGATGACACGAAAGAGGAAAAGATTGCAAAAATCTTTCAAACTTTGGGAATGACAGCTGTCAAACACTGTCACACGTCAAAAATGCTAGATGCTTGTCTTTGCTGCTTTGTTATCATACATCGTTATCAGTCAAAGGGTATAATAGTCAGTTGCTCATAGTTGCAGCCTTTCAGCGTTCCTTTAACTAAATATTTATCTAATTAATTTAGTAAGAATACGTAGTGTATTCTACTCGTCGAAGTACACTTCTAACGAGACGTAAATCGTACTTACTGCCTTAGTTGAGCATTGAGTATCTGTGAAATCGATTATTAGAGTTTTCCTTACTTTCAGGTTTGTGTTTACATTTTTTATCCTTATATTAACGTTTAATAGCGGTGGTCAGTGGATGAGATTACGTACGTTTACGTTTTAAATACAATTTTAATCACAGTAGACACTATGGGGTGGTAGGTGTTTAAATAGTAAAAACTTTTGGCGCTGCGAACCGCGATTACTGTCACCGGCAGAAAGTTGTTGAGAAAGTTGTCTGTAAACTGTTGTATTTAAGCAATTTTTTGAAGTCAGATTTATTAATTGTATCTACAACCATATGTAAGTTTTGAATATTTCCATAGCTGTTGGTTACCTTATTCAAAAATGAATATTTTAATAATTTATAAACATAACTTCTTATAGTAATAAGAAATTAACAAATATTTATATTGAAATACAATACATAAATATATACATATATTCATATGACTTTATTAGTTTTAATATTTTCGGAACACTTACATTTTTAGAACACTTAAGGGCCATAAGTTTATACAATAGGTTTTACACAGTGACTTAAAATAAAATGTTGATTGGTGTCTCGAAAAATAGTATTATATATATTTATATTGGGATTTTAGAATAACATGTGACAACAGAAAAAAATAAAATAAAAAATTAGACAACAAATCTAAGTCAACATCATGCAAGATCATATTGAAAGATCTGCTTGTTCTTCAATATTAATAATTCATAAACTCATCAATAAAAAAAACAATTCTTTTGTGTGAACAGATTAAAATTGATTTTATTTTATTATTCCTTAGGCCTCAGGCATATTAAATAAACACTTAATATTATTAATGTTCTATTTCAATGTTTAATTAAATGAATTAATTATGATGTTGCAGGTGGAATCTGAAAGAAAAAAATGTCTGAAAAAAACAATGATGATAAACAGCAGGAATATAGTGACAAAATGGATTTAGATGCTCAAAATATTATACTTGAGAATATTGAATTAGAATCATCTAGTGAAAATGGTATGGTATTTTATAATTTATTTAAAAAAATTAAAGAAAATGCAAATCCTGCTTCCTACTATTATAAAAACTAGCTACTCTCGCGCGCTCAATTTAATCGTAGCGTGATGTTTTATAGCCTATAGCACTCAGGAATATTGTAGCTAACTATCAGTAAAAGAATTTTGGAAATCCGACAAGCGGTTCCAAAGATTACCCCCTACATACAAACTTAAAAAAATTATCTCTTTTTAATATTAGTATAGATGTGAAAGTGTGTGAGGATGTATGGATGTATGTTTGTTATTCTTTCATGCAAAAACAGATGACTGATTTTGTTGAAATTTGGTCATAGTCGGGATTAACAGGAGGCTTCAAATCAAATTCTTTATTTCAAGTAGACCGCAACAGTTACTTTTGAATGTCAAGCAAAAAAAAAACTTCTTTTTATCAACATGCCACAAGGATGAAGTTGCTTATGTAAGCTAGTTACTTATAAAGGTTATGGATTTAATAATTTATGGATTTTGTCTTGTAACATTATTATATCTTTATTTCTATTAAAAAATATGAAGCACCCATAATTAGTAAGAATGCAGAAAAAGTTTTATGTACATATTGTTGAGATGCAAGAAAATTTGCCAGAAATACACTATTTTGTATTCTGTTATCCCTACATACCTATGGTATTATTAATGTTCATATTTTTTATTTTTAGACAGTGCAGTGGAAGAAGAAAACAAGGATATTGTTATTGAATTGGAAATAGAGTCAGAACCAATCTTGGATTCAACTAAACAGCCTGCCTCGGATAAAAAGTACATTGGTATTCTTGATACACACACTGAAGAAGGTACAAGTAGAAGTATTGATGATGTCGATAGTGGAAAACAACAGGCAACAAAGACTCCAGACCCTGTAAATCCACTCCCAGGCTGCTCAAGTGTACCTGAGGTGTCTTTGATACCTCAGAAGGCAAGTGTTCAGCTGTTTGCAGAAGACACTGGCCCTCAGTTGTACGATGCTAAATGTCCACTAGTCACATTACCTATTATAACCAAGAACCTGCCCAAAGTGTTTGAATACCTTCCCATACACGGTAAGCCGCAAGACAAAAACATGAAAGAATTCTTTTCAAATAAAATTAAAGAGTTTGTCGGAAGCGGGCTTACCGATGTTGAGTTTCAAGAATTAGAAGAATATTGCAGGTTAGCTAAAATTGCATTTAAAAATCGTTTTGAAATACTTATCATATTATATTTGTTTTGAATCTAGAAATAAGTTTGTTATCAATACTATTCATATTAGGTAATATTTCCATCTCAAATTCAATATTTTCTATGAAGGTAACTCCAAAATATGTGGTCATAGTATATTTGCGTCAAATAGCTTTATTTATTTTTTAAAAATTAGCTTAAAAATATCGAAAATGTTATCGACAGATCGATGAATAAAAGTGTAATTAATTTTCTATATTCTATAGAATTAATTTATTTTTCACCTAAGAAACTACCCAATTATTGTGATTTCCTATATTCCATTTAAATTGTTACCTTTTTCAGTCCGGATCATTTGAAAACAGGAAGAGAGATAGTGATGGGAACAAATGTCCCTGTGATGGGTGTTGTCAGTGGGAACATAATACACAACTTAAACGAACCTCCAGAAATAAATGAGGATCCTAATCTTTGCATACTGAAGAAGCATAAAATTCGTGTAGAAAAGGATACAAAAGGATTGTTCACAAAGAAATTGAAGTATAGAGGTGTACGGAACCTGCCTTTTACACAGGAGGTAAGGCTAGTACTTACATTTTTTATTTTAAACTTAGAACTAAAATTCTAGTGTAGGGCAACCCACACCAGAATTTTATCCTATGTAGTGAGTTCGTTTATAGTTTTTCTTTCTTTATTTTTTAACTTTGTTGCCCCACTCTAGGTTTTCTCCTGTGTCCTGGGTTGCGTTGTTGCGTTAACAAACATATACACATCACACCCAGACCCGGAACAACAATCTGTAGATGATACAAAGAGTTGTTCCGGGAGCCCAGCCACCACACCAACCCTGCAATTATAGATATCTTTATATTATGTCATCAGCTATAGAACAAAGACCTCATAAGAGACACAGACGAAAATCATAGCGTGGGGCAGTGTAAAAAAATCTAAATGTTTGTTTATGTGTTACAGATGTATCACAATATGCCTGCCGCTAAGCCCACGATAGAGGTACCTGATGTGGACCTGGAGCCCGGCAGAGACGTTCTGTACCGAGTCAGGGTTTATCGACCCTATACCTATAGTATGGCTAAAGAAAGATTTGTAAGTACCTATAGTTATGTCTAATATTTAAACTATTCAGATCATCATTTAAATGTCGAAGATTGCTTCGGTATAAATGGGCGTTTGGTTGCGTCAGACCCCATCCTACATTCCTATATCGCAATACCTCCTATTTCCCAATCCCCAATTTTCCCAGCTTTACAAGGCCTGTAACTGTAACGTACTTATGGGCGTTGCCGATTGCTTACCATCAGCGGCTAATGAGTAGCCGTTCCATGTTATAAAAAAGAAAAGTAAGGGTAAGCAGAGGTAGAATCTTAATGGGACATCGATTTGAACTACGCAAGATTTTTTGACACTAGAGGAAGTATTTGACCTCATTCACATGGCAAAAAACAACGCTGTGGTTGTTTCGCGCCGGTTTTTTTAAGGTCGTGGAATCTCTCCGGCCGAGCTGATCAATTCGTGCTTGAATAATTTTGTTTTTAATGTATCTATTGTCAGACACGCACGCGTCATTCAGTGTTCTGCTACGACATAATCCTGACGGGGCGCCACAAGCTGTCGGAGCTGCGCGACCGGTTCGTCTGCCACAACGACTTCGACATGCGAGTCGATGTCTCCAACAACCCTGACATGTTGCCCAGCGCCAAGGCTAAGGTACCTATGTTCACTTATTATAATTTTAAGAAAATACTCTTCCATAGAAATCGATGCTTTGGGTGAAACTTAAACTTTATTTCAAAAGGATAAGGTTGAAAATCTAAAAAAGTCACTATGTGTGGACTGAATTTTATCATTTGTTGAATCATTATTGAATGTAGCCTGTAAAGCTATATTTAAGTTTCTTATATTTTCGACTTTTATGCTTTGTTATAAAGTTGATTCTGTCTTTGTGTCTTGATGTTGTCAAAAAAGCTGTTGGTCAAACAGTGGAGGTTTTCAATAAGAATCATTGGAATTGATTCGGTTACTTATTCTGAGCAAATATTTTCAGGTTTCTTATAAACAAGAAGTTGTAATGATATTATTTATACAAAACTATACTTGAACAAGGCAAAAAGAGTTGTCAAACACCTTAAATAGAGCAGTTTTCCAAGAAGTCAATAAATTTTCTATGAAATAGCACGTAGTGACATCATATTTTCTACAAACTGTTTGAATTATCTAAGAAACACGAGTACTAAATACTTAAATTGGAAAATTTATGAGCAAAGGTGTTTATATGTTTGACTGCACGGTTGGCGTAGTGGCTGGGCAACTGGCTGCTCTCCAAAGTGTCGGGGGGGTCGATTCCTGCACGGCACAACATTTTGTGTGATCCACAGTGATTTGTATGTTTGTAAACGCATCAACGACACAGTAGAAAATCCCAGTGCGGCAACGAATTTTTTAAATAAACAAAATTTTTATTTATTATTTTCCAGGAATTGTTCCCATCGGGGTTCCTGTTCATAAACAACGTATTCTACGTGGATACGAGGGAGGGGTGCGTGGACTACAGCGAACCTATCAGAGAATGGGCCATCAAGAAAAAGCTTGGAAAGTTCCCCAAAAAAGATATGTGCAGTGTCAAGTTGGAAGATCTCGTGTTGAAGCTGGGTTACCCAGAGGTATGATTTTAATGTATAATTTGGATAACTATGTTAGCAATTTGAACCTTATTACGTAGTGTCAACGATCTAAAATTATTTGCAGTCATTTTTAATACATTATATATAGTCCTTATGTATGTGTATTTTACAGTGCTAATGCCAAATTAATTTTGAAGTAGCCAAATCTACGTATGAGCCAAATCTACCTTAATTATGGAAGTAAAGCAACATAAATTTTGTCAACGCAATTTAAACCTTAATTCATGACTACTAACACACAATACTTTTAAATATAACTCATTTATGCTTTCCAGGTATACGTTCACCAAGGGAATTGTGAGCACGTGTTTTTATTCTCGGAAGTGCGGCTACTGAACCCGACAGATCCGCTGCGCTTGTACAACTACCCATGCTCGACCGCCATTGCGCAGAACCAAACTGTTTACTGCACGACCTGTGCAGAATTCTCAGCTAAATGGATCGTAGTTGGGTGCAGCAGGGTCCCCTTCGATCCCGCCTTCTTTTGCGAGACTTGTTTTAAACAGTACCTTTATAAAGATGGCAAAAAAATTGGTGATTTCAAAGCTTATTCGTACAGAGGAAACGCTTTGAATGTTCTTAAACCTTGAAGATGTATTTTGTGGAGTTTGTTTGAGCTTTTTCGTCGTTGGATGCTCGATATTTTAAGTATTACGATTATTACGACCTCTTTGCTAGTATCTTCTGATAGCAGATGATCATCATTGCGTGGTTGAACGTGAAGGAAGTTCATTCAGTTTTCTCCATCTAATACTCATTGAATAATATAATAATCATTCTTCCAAATGTTTTTATAGTACATTACTTTGTGATTTACTCGAAATGAAATCCCCTTTACAGGCTCTCCTAGAGCCATGTTTCGACACGAATAGGCCATTTCAGTCTCACAGAAAATGGCTTGAAACTATAGCTCAATCATCTCCCTTCTCCCTTCCCTTATCCGGAATCCCCAAATCCTTGAAAAGGCGGATACCGTAATTCTCCCACCTATTTTTGCTGGTGTTGCAAGTGCCCACGGGGACGCGCATTTTTTAATAGCACCAGGTCGTTTGAAATTCTCGTTTGCGTCATATTACAAGAAGACAATAAGATAATTTTAAGATAATCAGTATAACTACATATATGTATGTATATAGCTAGTCTGTTGCTATTTAGTGTAGGTTATAAGATTGTTTGATGTAATTTTTTTACGTCACCTACAATACTTATTTATTTCGAAGTTGTGATTGCTCTTAAGTTTTCAGGTGTGGTTTTGTTAATTGAAGTTATTTCTCTTTTAATAAGAAAACTATTAATTTTTTATTAAGGTTATTTTTCAGCTATATATTTTTAAAGATTGTTTACTTTTGAAATCAAAATACTTGAAATAAATCTCCTAAATTCTATACTGGCAAAGACATGCGAAAAACCAGTGTATTTACTATATTTTAATGAGTAATAGCTAAGAAATAACTTTCTTGAGTAAGTGTAATTTAATTGGAAATGAGACTGGGAAATATTTTGTGATATTAATACTATGTGTAAATAAAGTAAGCAATAAGGTTTGTTTCAAAAAAAAATATATATATATACTTATCTGTAAATGGGGAGGCGTTGTTTTTACTGGGGCTACTGTGTTTTGGCTCATCAGATGGCGCTACTGTAGACTTCATATATCTCTTCCAATAGGGAATTAGCTAGCTACTGTCATACCGTTGGATGCCAAGTTTTGACAGCTACAACAATTGGACATTATGCTCTCTTTCAAGGTCCGCGCCAAATAGTGGTAAAAAAGCAGTATTCCACATGCCAGTGATGATTGTTTATTTTCTGGTTTTCTAAAAAAAACGTTATACTAAGGATTTTCTCTTGTGTCGTGGTTGCGTACAAACATATAATTTCACATATTATAGTTTAATATTGTATGGTTTATACAGTCGGACTTTTAATTCGATTCCTGATTTGACATGACCTATTGTCATTTTGTGAAATAATGATACCACATATAACAGTGTAGTGATGAACACAAAAATCGATAAACAATGAGTGAATCAGATTCAGGAAGGCATTCAAAAAATTATGCCTGCCGAATGGTCTAAATGCGTATCCCATGTTGTCAAAAAAGAGGAAAAAATGAGTAAGCTAGATATTTTAATTGACAATAAAAATCACAGACACAATTCATAATAAATGTTACAGAAAGTAACAGCGATAGCGATAGCAATGACGGCGACATTTTATAAAATTTCTGTTTTATTTGTCATGTTCCTTCATGATCACATTTTTCATTAATTTTACACACAATTACAAAAGAAAAGTCTCAGATCGTTAATGAATTGTCAAAACTAAATTATCGGTTCAGTAATATTGTATTTCCTGATAAACTTAGTTTACGAGATTAAATTTATAAACGAGAGGAATCGATTCAGAAATATTCGATTTCCACATCGAATAATTTCGCAACGTCACTATTTATTACGTGTCATAACGTTGCAACACTGAAATTGTCAAATCTGGAATGGAATTAAAATTCCGAGTATTTATAAATATTTTTGTTACCAAAGTGTAAAATAAACTTTTTAGAATTCATGTTGTGTTTTTTAATTGGCTTACGCCCGGTTTCCGAAAGGCCGATCAATATTAAAATCAATTTAATCTCTTGTCAAGTCATCTGATTGGTTGACTGAATTATCAACAACCAATCAGATGACTTGACAAGAGATTTAACCGGAGTTTAGTTAATTTTAGCGTTGACAAGCCTTTCAGAAACCGGGTGTTAGTCTTGCTGGACTGGTATCCAGTGGCCCATGGCCTTTCTGCATCTATAAGAATAACACAAGGGATCTATCAAACAAGAATACGACAGTTCCCTTTGATTTCCTCATGTGTAGATTAAGGCATACATCCTTTAAAACAAAGTAATCCCATCCCCTAATATACCATTAAGGGATAGGTTTACTTTCTCTGGGATATTTGAAAACAAGGGGTACATGTAAAGGTACTCCTATGGCTAAAAAAGAAGATAGCCACTTCGTGAAAGTAGTTCTCAGTTTCGAAATAATACATATTGTTTGTACGTGTGTTTACTCACAAATCAGAAACGGATGGACATTAGTTAACCGTTTCTAAAGTGCGAAGTGGAGAGAAGATAAGAAAAACTCATGCCTGAAGTAAGCCACGGGTTAAACTAGTGTTATGTAGAAGTATGCAAGGCATGATACACACGATGAGGTCAGCCTCCCATCCTTTGCGTGTTTGGAGTGATTGATACATTTATCTGAGATCAGCAGCTGATTGGCTCAATCAAGATAGCGTGTTCCCACACCGTCGTGTTATTTGTAGAACTCGAGGAATCAACATACTGTAGTGTTGTGTGAATGTTTGTATGTTCTTTGGTTGGTGATGATAGTTCATTATGCAATAGGTACGTAACTGGCTATAAGTTACATGCATAAAAATAAAAATATAGGTACATAAAACACAGTGAAAGATTTTTGAAAATTCGACCAGCGAGCGGTTCCAACGACTAGCCCTAAGATTTTTAAGTAGAGTTAAGTATAGAAAAGTAATAATTAGTTCACAATAATAATTTGTTATAACAATTAGTAAAAGGTTTTATGGATTCCTAACCATTTAATAAGTGAGTACTTACTCACGTAGTTCTAAATTTATCTAGATGCTAAATGTCTGCTGTTTCTACGAGTCGAGCAAACATACGGGCCCACTGCTAGCTACAGAATAATTGTCCAAGGTATGTCGTTGGTGTGAAACCTTGAACGCGCTGGCAGGTTGTTGATATGATTATGATTTGTTAGTGTAACATTCCAGGATTACCAGGTAGGTACATATTTACTTCCTACCTAAGGTAGACCGATAAAGATTTGTGACATTATTGACCAATTACCTAATAAAAATCGGTACTTAGGTACCAAGTTATCTACTAGTAGCATAGCGGGTCTGCGGACGGCAAGCAAGGGTAGCTCGTAGGCCAACCAAAATTGTAGCCGAGCGTACGGCGCGTTGCGTTCCGCGCGCGCCTCAGAGCCAAAAGATAGACCACCACAGGGCAAGCGCAATGAGGCACGGCAACCTCGGCCCTGAGGAAGGATGGGGGGGGGGCTTTTTCGTCAGTAAGAGTCTGACACTTCCCCCCGCCCGAACCTGGGCGAAATAAGTCATTTGATGATTTTCCCGTGACAAAAAAAGAGAGCAGGAGAAGAAGGACAAAAAAAAGAGCGGGGGTTAAGTCAGTAAGAGTCTGACACTCTTCTCTCGCCTCACTCTGGGTGAGAGAAGTCATTTGATGATTTTACTTTCACCAAAAAAGGTCTACTAAGTAAGTAAGTACGATCTACTTAAAAAATGTCACCACACAAAATTTGAAGTCTGTAAGTTTTTAATCTGATTAGGTAGCTACATAATTTAAGAATAGTTTAGGTACGATGTTGGTGTATATGGAATCACCTCTCTAATAAAAGAAGCAACTTTGAAATAACTCCTGTTATACTGTATTAGCAAGTTCTGACAACCTGATGAAATAGAAGCGTTTGTTATTATTTCAGAGGCGAAGCGTTGATGGTGTTTGATTAATATATATTATGCCTAGGTACCTGTCTACATCTATATGTACTTTCAGATACTGTATCCGTAGTTTTCTACGTAGTACAATTTAGGGGAGAGACCTTTATTCTTCCCGCGGGTAAAAAGTCTGGGAGTGCTATGCTTTGAAAATATACTTATACTTGACAAATTTGTAAATGTGACTGTCCTGAAACCTATTACAATTGGTTAGACCAGCAGAATGTCGGTCCTTGGAGTTGTCATGCTCACTGAAAGGTCACACTGGCGGTGGCATGGGCGCTGGATCGCTTAATTCCCTATAATACGGTTGAGTTGGGCGATGCTGGTGTTATACGATATACACATCAACAATATAAAATGCTATAAATATATATAACATAACAACAAGTGCACATGAAGAGTTAGCGTCGTGTTTCGCTGTGTGCGTGTAATCATGTAGGCGGCCACGAAACTAGCGATACACGACTTCTTTAGACCACACTTCTTACTTGGGGAATTTCTCAAGAATATAGTTTCCTCAGACAAAAAAAAACATTTCTAAAAATAAAAAACCTACATTCATTAATTTAACAATAAGTATAGGTAGGTACCTATTTAAAGGGAGACTTGGGATATGAATATATATCCATCAATAATTACTAACATAATGTCTCAATTATCTGTACGCACATGTCACTTGCTTTTGCACAGCGAGAAATGAAGTGAGGTTACCGGAGGCCCAATCCTTCCCCTTCCCCAATCCCTCCTCAATCCCTAAATCTTCAAATCCCTAATCCCTAAAAGGTCGGCAACGCACTCGTAACTCCTCCGTTGCGAGTGTCCATGGGCGGCGTTGATTGCTTACCATCAGGTAATCCGTATGCTCGTTTGCCGAGCTATTACATAAAAAAAAAGTATTTTTCTTTCTTTCTTTCTTCTTATTTATTATTCGTATTATTTTAGATTAAGAGAAATAAGTAGGTACATAGAAAATTATCGTTTTTCACATTTACATTTCGGAAAATGTATCGAATTTGACTAGTTGGAAACTACCCTAATGAACATTTCCTAAGATTTAAGCTAAAACTGTTA